GACATTAGCAACTTCTGGATAGTCTTGAGTGCAATCAATGCCTAGTTGGTATAAACTCCTGATAGCGAGAAAGGGTGCAGACCTAGTCCCATATGTAACTGTATTTAGTTGAAATGTTTCGATTGGTTTATCTGAATCCTCACGCCATAGTATGCTCTGCAATGATCTTTGTTCTGGAGTGACTAGAATTTGTCGGTACATTTTCTCAATGTCACCACAGAATACGTAATTATGTTTACGAAAACGTAATAAAATGGATAACAAATCTTCTTGTATGGATGGTCCTATATATTGTAAGTCGTTCAGAGAGGTTCCAGAAGAAGTTGATGCTGAGGCATCAAATACTACGCGCAATTTAGTAGTGACGCTAGCTTCTCTGAGGACCCCATGATGAGGCATATAGTACGAAACGCTCATATCATCATTAGATTTTATCTTCTCCATATGACCTAGTTCAAGATATTCGTTCATGAACTGAATATACATAGTTTTGAAGTTTGGATTTGAATTGAACTTTCTTTCCAAAGATGAGAAACGCTTCTCAGCAATTTGTCGAGAGACTCCTAACTCATTAACATCCTTTTTGAAAGGAATATGCACTATGAATCTGCCATATGCATCTCTACGAGTTGTATTCTTGAAAAATAGTTCACATAGTTGCTCATCTTTGGATAATGGTTTGTCCATTAAAATTTCTTCGATTTGCCAGAATTTATTAAGTTGATTTTCAAGAGCCATATTTTTAGTAACATTGCAATGCACTTTCTGGAATTGACAATTTGAAATGTTGATCGGCCCTGAAATTATCCAACCTAGTTTAGTTTTTTGTAGTATAGGTCCTGGAATATTCAATTTGATTTGTCCAATGCATAAGAGATCCCAAAACCAATCGGCACCGATCAGCATATCAATTGATCCTGGTGAATGAAAAGAAGGATCTGCTAGTTTGATATTAGTCGGAACAACCACTTTCGATAAATCAACTTTGAAGTTGGGAAGTTCACCTGTAATTTCTGGCAAAACGAAACAAGATATGTTCGCTTCAAATGTATCATGCTTTGATTTTATTCTGACATTACACATATTAGTAATTTGTGTACTAGAATTATTTATTCCTCCTACAGACATCGCTATTTTAGTAGTTGCGAGTTGTAGTTTGTTGCATAAACTTTTGTTTATAAAGGAGCTTTGTGACCCTCCATCTAACAAGACTCGAATACTGTGTGGTTCATTATTCTTGTCAAAAATAGTAATAGTGGCTGTGGAAAGCAGAACATGATTTTGAGAATAGCAAGACAGCGTTACTGATTCCCTTTCAGGGCCTAATGTAGTTTCATTAGTTTGATCTGAATTGACCGTTTTAGTTTCTAAATGTAATAATGTATTGTGTTTCAAATTACAATATTTGCAACCTACCGATCGACAATATTTTGTATAATGTCCCGGTCGTAAGCAATTACCACATATTTTTAGTTTATTGACAATTTCCATTCTATCGTTTGCTTTTAGTTTCAGAAAATCTTCACAGAATTGAATATAGTGATCTTTTTTGCAATGAGTGCATCTCTGTTTAGTAGTTGGAAATGCCTTTTGCATTCTGTTTGCATTAGTGTTAGTGTTAGTATTGGGATAGTTATATTTCTTATCATATTTAGTGGTATAAGGAGTAGTTTGTTTGTTTAACTCTAGTGCTTCTAACATTTCAGCACGAAGTTTGAGAAATGTAATTAGTTTTTCTAGTGAAGGTACACTGGTATCTCTAGATTGCTCCCATTCTCGACCTGTGACACTGTCTAGTTTTGTAGTGATTAAATAGACTACTAGTGTGTCCCATTGATCAGTCGGTTGCTTAAGACTGTTGAGTGCTCTTAAATGTTTAGAAACAGAATCTACAATTTTTCGAATTTTCGTCGAAGATTCTTTTTCAACTGATTCCAAATCGAACAGTGCCTTTACATGATTATATATCAACATCCTATTATTTTCATAGCGTTTGCATAGTAAGTCCCACGCTACTAAATAATTAGAAGCCGAAAATTCGAGAGATTGTATCACGTCAGCTGCATTTCCTTTTAATGAGGCTCTAAGATAGTGAAATTTCTGAATATCATTAACTGAATCATTGTTATGAATAAGCGATTCGAATGTATCTTTGAATTCAAGCCAGTGATTATAATCTCCGTCAAATTTAGGCAAATCTATGATGGGTAATTTGACACCAATGGAAGGATTTTCGCGAAATGCTTGTGAGGAAGAAGGAACTGGCAGATTATCCTGATGAACACTAAATTTATCTTTATTGTATTTGTTTTGCAATGTCTTAGCAAATGATAAAGTATAATAATAGTCTGCTTCAAAATTAGCCCTCTCTAAATAATGTGGATCAGGATCTTCTGCACGTAACTCTATACCACTTTGTATATCATCGAATAAGCTCAGAATAATTTCAGCTTGGGAAATTCGGAGGTCTAGTTCAATGAGCGAATCTTCAGGTTTTTCAAGAGCATCAAACTCTTTCAAATAGTTTTTGAAAATAGTAAGTTTGGCCTTAACACCACCTCGTTTCCTGTTCAACTCTTCAGACATAGTTGATTGTTAGTACCTATTCTTTAATTACAAACAACCCGATCGTGCAAACAGAAAACAGAAGCTAAATAGTTTACGACTCACTCTCTTTTCCTTTAGATAGTAGAAAACTCCGTAACAGCTATTCGATGATTCGGTTCTCGAAGGACCATGGAGGATTTTGCCTACAGAATATGGGGCTGGTTCCCACTTGATACAGCTAGTATAGTAGTTTGATGGAATAAATTATATTTATTCACGACTAATATATTATGCTTGTGGTTTTTGAAGTATAATGCCATATATTAATCCCGCAGGGAATAAAGACTATTAATCCCTCGCCATTATTCCCTGCGGGATTAATATATGGCATTATACTTCAAAAACCACAAGTATATATATTAGTCGCAAATAAAGTAGAGTATACTACTCGCAATAATGGCTATTATTCTCTCGGAATGTTACTCCCTCGCCGCTAACGCGGCTCGGTTCGTAAAAAATCCTCGAGAATAATAGCTATCATTATTGACTCGTGGTATAATCTACTATTTTTATATTTCAGAGTGACATTAATAGTTTTTATTGACTTTTCTCAATTGTATAACAAAATTCTATTACAGTTCATGACAACATCACCAATTGTCTTTATAAAGGGTGAACAATATTATATATGAAATTATACAGAAATACTTTGAAAATCTGAATCAGAAAATTGAAAAAAAAAAAAATTAGGTATACCTTTCAAAAAACTACCGAGAAGTCATCACACGAAATTAGTTTATATTAGATTATTATCTCAAAGACAGTAAAATGAAATAAAAAATCGACCTATTTCAATTACTATCTTGGAAATGATGCGGTGGAATGAATTCAGCATACAGAGTCACCAACAATCTAGGGTTATTCATGAACCGTTTTCGTATGCTCTCGATCTCCTGAATAATTCATGAAAATGATGGAGAAATATTTTCGATTTACAATGAAAAATAACTGAAACACCACAGGGTGGAAAATAAAAACGTGCAAAGTAAGTAAAGTCTACCGTTAGTAGACATCCTTTTTTCGACAATTATAAATTCAAAATCATATTCATATACAGGCTGATTCACGGTGGATGGCACATTAGACGTTTCTGGTGAACCAGACAACGGATCATTTTGAAAATTTAATGGAGGGCATATTCGGGCATTCTCTAGCCAACTAAAATATTTTCGACAATGCGGTGTTGCCGCTTCTATTAGAAAGCAGTAGCAACTTTGATTTTTCAAATGGAACACTCTGTATTTTATTGCATTTTTAGATTCTCCCTGAAGAGCAGATTTCATCGATGTATCACACTTGGGGTCTAGCGGAAATAATTACAGAGATATAGGGTGTGAAAAATCGACATTTTTCAACTTTGGGAATTTTTTTGTCGAAACTATTCATTATTGGTCAAAACGGCTCACATGTCCCTATCTCAACTTTTGATCAATTATCTACTAACATTTAATTGAAACAAATACAGGGTGGTGCAGAATTCAGACTCTTGATCACCCAATTAAATATCAGTAGATAGTTAATCAAAAGTTGAGCAACAAAACAACACTGCAACAAAACAAAACCGAGCGAGAGGTTGTTGTATGTCCTTCTCCCGCGATAAATCAAAGGGATATTAAATTCTCATATAGGTCGTCGAATCGTTAATCGTTAACTCTCTTTGGCGCTAAAAATCAAATCTAACCCGCGAAAACATTCATTCAAATGCATTTGCATCTCACTGACGGAGAAGGACGAAAATAATGGACTGAATGATTTAGCCCATGCTCGGTCTCATCAAAAATGAGACCTGCTGAACGTAGTCTAGGTAGTCTGAATTAAAAGTTCAATCAAACCGTGTGCAAAAACTGTTGGTTTCTATTTGAAATGAGAAAGTTGGTGCCAACTTTTGACACACCCGTTATAGCTGGAGGACTTGAAATATTTCAGGTGATTGGAAATAATCGGTTATTACAAAGTTCCAGTTTTTAATCCAACTGCAATTTGGAACAATTATGTGTGGCCTATCTAAAACACCCTGTATATGAAACAGATAAATATCTTAGTATTAGATGGGTATTAGCACAGATCACCCAACTTCTATTAGTACGGTATTACAGGGTGATTGAATTTTATTAATTCAGGAACGAATCATTTTTTGAATGGCCATATCATAGTATTTTGGACTTTCCAAATTATAATTGTCTGCTATATTAATTTTTTTCATACCTTACAGAGTGCTGCAGTCAACTGTGTTTGCACAGAAGTTACATGTAATTTATTTAGTGAATGATCTCCTGCACCATAGGTTGGTATTCGATAATTCAAAATAAATATTCCAACCTAACCATTCATCTTGTAGTGCTAGAAAGAACGCGAGTGACCTAAAGGACGCTTTAGAAAGAGTAGTGGTCCCAATGTTTTGTAACGCCAGTATAGCAGCAACCAATGACCAGCGACAAAAACTAGAGAAGCTATTAAAACTTTGGGAATCCAAATCGAACTACTTGAAACCAGAAACTTTGGAGATGATGAGGAATCCCTTACAAAGCTACCAGCAATACCAGGCCAACCAAATGGCCAAATATACCACGGAAGTAGCTGCCCTAGCCCAACAAACCAAAACCACCTTTGACACCTACCAAGCCCAGCACCAAGCCTTCGTGTGTCATGCTATGCAGCAAATAATGGACTTGCAACAACAAAAACAGAACTTGGAGCAACAGCAGCAAGTCGTGGTGCAGCCACAGCCACAGCAGAATAACACTGTCCTCGCTTCCAATTCCTCCTCTGTCATTCCTCTAGAAACCATACAAGCCAGCTTGCAGCAGACCATACAGAATCTCAGTCAGGGGGCCTCCGCCGCAAACAACACACAATCCTTTTCCGTTCCGAACTCTAATAACGATAACTATGCGCCTATGAACATTGGCTTGCCACCCCCAAACATGAACCAGGCGCCTGTAGCTCAGCCTCAGCCACTTCTGATGAACAACTTGAATCAGCAAGTGAACAGTTTTCCAGAGATAAATCCAGTTTTTCCTGCTACTTCGGATATGAGCCTGCAGACGCCTCTGATTGGTAACGGCTTGGAAAGCATATCTTTCTCCCAGCCCCCTCCGGGGTACTTTCCCCCTCCGGGGATGTTCCCGGACTTTTCCAAGCCCCCGCCTGGGTTCCCGTCGAAGCCCGAGCCTTTTTTGGAGGAGCTGATGCCCTCTGCTCCGTACTATGATCTGCCGGCCGGATTGATGGTTCCTCTAGTGAAGGTAAGGCTCCTAATAGACTCTTTGGAGATGGAATCGATTGTTTGTGGCATTTTATTGAGAAATACAGAACTGCAGGTTCTTGTTGTAGTGGACACTAGTGTTTTAATGTTTCCTGCCAAATTCGGTTTGGGGTTGATGTTCTCCTGTATTGGATCAACGCCAAAGTTATAGTTGAAACTCATCTGTTCTGTGAACAAATAGTTCGATTACTTCTGGAAAGGCTACTGGACTTGAGGAGCATTTTTCAATGTTCCTGTCAAGGTTATTTGGTGTTCTTTCTATATGGGATCATCACCAGAGTTATAGTCCAAAATCATGCAAACCAGAGAGTTTGGTTATTTAAAATTTTTAAAATGGCTTTTGGACTTGAACTGTTCAATGATTCCTGCTTAATCAGGTTTGTGCATAGATTACTAGTTCGAGGTTAAGTTCAGTATTCTACAACAAAATTACAGTTCCAACTTTTCGAGATTCAATAGTAGAATTGTTTTTTTTTTCAAGTTTTGAAAATTGCTTCAAAACTTACTATACTATAATATTATGGGATCAACACCATAATTAAACTCCAAGTTCAAATAGTTTTGTGCACAGATTACTAATTTTTAGTTGAGTTATATAGTTGATTTTTTTGTTTTAAAAATTGCTCCAAAACTTGCAAAACTCCTTTGACACTGAGGTTATTTGGTACTAGCTTATGTTGGGATCAACAATAAAGTTCTACAAACCAAATGGTTTGTTGAAATTTTCAGAATTGCTTCAGAACTTGACAAAGTGCATTGTTTGATTTCCAGATTTTTAGGGTATAATTCTATTTTTCAGTTGAAAAAATTGAAGATACTTGTATGATCTCTACACCTGACATTCAAAAAGCAATACTATATTGTTTTCTCAACAGGAATATTTTTATTCACTGCCACTTTTCAATTACAAGTGGACATCTCAATATTTTCTAATTCTACAAATTTGTTAGTTTCTTTCAGAAAATACGGTATCTTCTAGGTGGCTGACAATTACCTTATCATTTCAGTGTTAGTTATCAAAAATCCAACAACAAAAAATCGAAATGTATGAGTACAAGGAATTTAGTCACATTTATTGGACTACCTGTGGGAAATAGGAGAAATTAGTCCAGCACTATCTAACGAACGTTTGCACATCGGATTAAAGAATTAATCTTATTTATGCTCTTATACATTACCTAAGTACAAAACAGAATTCACAAAATTAGTATATTATTATAATACTTTTGTTTTTATTTTCATTTAGAGTACTGAGTTATGGAAACGTATTCATATTTCATACCAGCATTTGATATCTGATGTTCAACATAATGGTTCCCTGTATAGCATGAAATTCATTGGTGTCCCCTCCGAACAAAGGGTGTCCCAATCATTGTGTATTAATAATGTTCTTATATGACGCTCCTAAATTGATTCAAATAAAGTATAAGGAAAGTTAAATTAAATTGTTTAACAAAAAAAAAACACGCAAGTTTCTAGTTCAAATAATGATTTTGTACAATCAATATTATTCAATGAAAAAAAAGTTCTAAATGGCTAAGTCTTCAGAAGAATATGGTCAAGGATAACCCCTAGTTTCTACTTATCTATCTAATGTACATCGTTACCTGCGATATTCCCCTGTATAAATTTTAAAAAATTCGTAATTTTTACAATTTTTCAATTTATCTGATGAAGTAAAAATCATATTCTTTCGTGTTATCAGTGATAGGTGCCAAACTATTATTGCAAACGTTTCAAAACTATATTCATTACATTATAAGCAATATATCAACCACATAGATAATCCTCAGAGGTATCATAATCTATTAGATCCTGGCAGATAATTGAAAGTAATATTAGGTAAAGTCACATATCTCGGAGATGTGATGTTCGATCTGTAAGGTACAGGTAAGTTACAGCAAATATCTAGCGGTAAGTATGGCATGTGATTTGTATAAAAGGAACTAGAGTGCCAGTACAAAAAACTCTGATACTCAACTGTGAAACGATCTAATGCAGTTCAATTGGCACCTGTCATTGATAACACAAAAGGATATGGAGTTTGGTTTATTGAGCTAATGTTCTTCCGGATATATTGACTGAATATTATAATAGTGTATGTTTGTTATGGAATTCGTAATGTTATTTTGACACGCTTATTCTAGTTGGAGGAAACATCATATAAACCGTTAGATCCTAAAGATATTAGGTTGCCTCCACCAGCACCACCAAGTGAACGCCTTCTGGCAGCTGTCGATGCTTTCTACTCTCTACCGAACCACGATCGGCCAAGAGACAGGTAAAAACTCGTTTTCTTGGGGCTCTCAATACGTTCACCAAAATCAATTTTCCAATGATCACGTACATTTACAATTGGTACTCTTGGAGTTTTTATTCAGTAAATAATTTTCTCCAATATCGCGCGAGCATGGTAAAAAATTACTATTATTTTCCTCCGATTGGCAGCAAATATTAATTTTGCTGACACATATCAATCAGCAAAGTATTACTTTTCCTGCCTAGGCAGCAAAGTGGGTACTTTGCTGCCTAGGCAGCAAAGTGGTTACTTTGCTGATTGATATGTATCAGCAAAATTAAAAATCCATAAATCGTTTATAATTTCCTTAATATTTTATCCGAGACTTCTCCGGCAACAAATTCAACTCTATATTTTTTGCCACCTCCCTCATTAATGGAGGTGTAAGTATACTTCCAGGTCGCTATCACTCTCCATTATATAATAATTTAAATATATCGATATTTTTTCGCAGAACTGTCAGAAATTTCATGAATTGTCAAACCAACAACTGCGATTTCTATCAAATTTTATTTTAATTGTACACTATACAGGAAGAATAAAGAGATTGTGGGAATTGTATTAATTCGCAAATACAATATTCTGCCATATCATTATGAACAATCGAAGAAAAAATTATATGTTCAACTCGACAGCAAAGTAGATTGACTGCCTTAGCTGGATTCCTAGCCTCGCTACGCTCGGCTATGAATTCAGCCACGGCAGTCAATCTACTACTTTGCTGCCTAGTTAAACAAATAACTATTTCTTGTATTCTTGTCTTCATTCAATAAAGTGAGAGGAAAGATGCAGATATAATGTCCTTTAGATAGATCATGCTTAAAGATGGATTTTTCTTCTTTGTGTGCCTAAGAAATTCATTTGGAGGAGACATGAATTGTTATAGTATTTTTTAGTTAGTTAGATTCAATATTTTGAAGGATCCATGATAAAGTAAATTCTTTAATTTCATGTTTGCTTTAGTTACAAAAACATGAATAAAATGTCAACTTGAACCCCAACAATCTGTCTCAAAACTATTTTTGAAAGGATCTTAAGAAATACAATCACTGTGTGGCGCTTTTTGTGTTAATTGTGTTCTTATGGCCATCATTTTAACATTCGAAATGTGAAAAGATGTCAGCTCTCCACATATTCCTAAGATGGTAAATTATATCAAATGTGATTGGAAAGGGTTCCCTATTTAATTTCAATGTTCTAATGAGTATAATACGTAAACATAGATAGTCTTATAAGTATAATTAATTGATTTTGTATGCACACTTCTTTTTGAAACAATCACTTAGTGTAAAATCATGCTCATTTTGCATTTTGTTATACAGGGTGTCTCATAATTAATGGTAAACAGTAAAATTGCAGATTCCTTGGATAAAAACATTGCTGATTAGGCTGCACTTGCAGACATGAAGTTCCAAAAAAGTGCTTTCATTGCATTTATTCCTATCAACGCCTACTTACAAAAATCTCACATTTGCAAATTAAGAATTTGTTTTAATTTTGGACGAATTGCAGTATTTTTGTCCAAGTAATCTGCAGTTTTACTATGTAGCATTAATTGTGTGACACTCACCCATATAAATTTCTATAGTCGAACTGCCGAATAAACTAGTTTTAACTTATTCACGTGACTAGAATAATAACTGTTGCCGTTTTCTTCAATATTATTCTTTTACTATATTATTCCAATGATTTCAATTCAACCCTACTATTAAAACGTTATTCAATCTGGAAAGCTCAAAGCAGATGGCACTGGTGAGGTTGGACGTCATGTCATCTGTCAATCATTGTTCAGATGCCTGAACGTTTTTTGTGATGTGCTCCTTGGGATCGTCTAGAATAAGAACTGAATGCAGATACATCGTAACCTCACTTATTTTTAATATAATCATCATGCGTTCCATTTTATGTAGATGATAGATGAATCTTCCAAACCCACTAGTGCCACAGTATATAATATTAGTCCTATCAAATGGTATTTTTTCGAAAACATGAATCCGGTAGGTTTCTCAACGGGATCATATATTTCGAGGGTCCCAGAAGCGAATCTGAAGTTTGTTGCCCCGTAGCAGGACCGGCTCAAGTCGAAAAACATCGAAAGTTTCTGAGTTTTTCCGGTTTTCCTCTCATATCTTGCAAACGACTTGATGGACAAAAAATATCACGGTATTCAAAGTTGAAGAGCACAAAATTCTGCGTCGAATGATGTCACTATCTTCCGTATTCCCGAATTAATAAGGTCATTATCGTCATTCGAAAAAAGCCCGTTTTACTTACTTTTAGACGAATGTGATTTCAAATGAAAACAGCGATCTACTTTACGTGAATAACTTATAGGATAGAATAAAAATTATTAAGCATAATATTCTGAGTTGAGTCGGCAAGAAAAATCCGTATTTGGATCAGTATACAGGGTGTCCTGAAATGATATCGAAAGATTCTAGGAGCGGAAATAGTAAAAAAAGTTCAATTGAATATGCGTCTAGAAATGGACCCTGGATGGTTATAGCTATCTGAAGGTGATGGATTCATGTAAATATTTCCGAAGTCCATGTGATCCCAAACACTTTCTTGGGCCATCAGAAAAATTTCTGCAGCCGATGGGAATCCACGACCAACAAGCGAATGCTGATAGAATATTGACTCTCTGTCCGCACGGCTACCTGGCCCCCATAAATAATAACAATAAAGAAGATATAGGCTTCATTCGACGCAGAATTTCCTGCTTTTCAACTTTGAATACAATGATATTTTTCGTACGGTATGTCGTTTGCAAGATATAACCGGAAAACCGGAAAAACTCCTAATAAGTTCAGGTTTTTTCCATTTTTTGACCTTAGACGGTCTTGCTACGAGGCAGCATACTTCAGTTTTGCTTCCGGGCACCTGAAAACATATGATCCCGTTGAGAAACCTTCTACCGGATTCAAGTTAGCCAAGCACTATTGAACACCATTTGATCAAGCTATACAAGACATCCCTGTCATTCGATTGAGAGCCCCAACATTTCGTACCAAACCATACCAGCATTCAATGTCAATACAAACTTCACACCTGAACAATTCACACGAAAAATTTCTCATGAATTTGTGTCATGTACCCTTTTACGAAACAGCGAAGGGTGGGAAAAACTAGGTTTGTATGAGTACTACAAGGCAAAGAACATTGCGAAAAAAGAGAAGGAGGACCTCATCGAGGCCGGGCTGAGACAGAGGTCGCGTAGCCCCTCGCCCATCGAGCTGCCCGTGGAGAAGGAGCCGCCGCCGCCCAAGAGGCGGTACCGCAGCAAATCGCCCGCCCCCGTGCATGTGCCCCGGATGGGCAGGCGGTCGAGGAGCCGGTCGAGGTCGAGAAGCAGGTCGAGGAGCCCGAGAAGGAGGCACCGGGGCGAGAGGGATAGGGAGGCGAGGCGAGAGGGGAGGGAGAACAGGAGGAGGAGGAGCAGGACGAGGTCGAGGTCGCCGAATTTCAAGAGGTCTATTTCGCCGCCCAATAGTTTCGTGTGAGTGTTGGGGGATTTTGGGGTTATGGTTGAGGGTCAAACATAACATCCTATTCAACTCGGCAAAAACAGCTAATGACTAAAAATAGAACAACCTTTATAACACAGTAATACACCCATAACAACATAATTGTGAGGAATTCAATACTAATAACTATAAACTCATTAGTGTAAGGTAGAGTTCCTAAATGTACTTGACACTGCTGTTTAGACGTTTTTTTTTATATTACAGTACGGACACTATGACAGGCACTGACAATCAGACATAACCATAAATAAATTGATGGAAAACGCGGGAACAGACAGTACACGGACGTACATGACATAAATTTCAAAGGTTTGACAAATTGAGAGAATCAGGAGAAGCAATTTCAGCAGAATGTTTAGTCGAAATATTTAGAATGTTATAGTATGACTGCTCACAATTATCTGTCACTCAGTGATTTTTTTCGATTTCGGAATGAAAAATCAGCAGAATCAGTAGTGTCAGTTGAATTCGGAATATAGCCTCAATATACAGAATATAAATGTTGGTCACTTACTCGGTATTATTAACATATATTTTTTGTTTTTCTAAACACGAGAATTTTGAACTCCCAATTTTTCTAGTATCATATGTAAAATAGGTACCTAGTTCTGACATAAATCCATACGCTTTTCATACTCCTTGGAGGATATACAATACAAGCATCACGGTGCTTAGGTGTTTCCTCAATGGAGTGGTGGAAAAGATTGTAATTATTATTTATACCAAAATAATTTTAAATAAGAAATGTACCTATATTTATGTTATGCATGTACGAGTACTACATTACTACTGAATGAATAAAGTCTCTATCTGAAAAAAGAAGCGTCAACACAACCGATGTCAAGTACATTCCTTTTCCATGGCACTTCCTCCGTTCCAGCTCACTCAGTCTGATGCAGCACGCCGTCCAGGAGCTGGACCCCTCCAACAAGGGCCACCAGATGCTGAAGAAGATGGGGTGGGGAGGTAGCGGCGGCCTCGGCGCCAACGAGCAGGGCATCGACGCGCCCATCTCCGGGGGGGACGTGAGGGACCGCCAGGACCAGTTCAAGGGCGTCGGCTGCAACATGAACGACCCCTACGAGAATTTCAGGAAGAACAAGGGGGCGGCCTTTATTACCAGGATGAAGGCCAGGGCGGAGGAGCGGGCGGCGGACAGTAAGTCGATCGAGGATTGATTGTTTCGTTATGGTTACAACGGACATTGAAACGTGGGCCATCACTTTTCACCCCAGTGAACTATCATTGGCATTATTTGACATTATTCAATAGTTATTGGGATTCATTTTACTTGATTTTTTGGGATTTTCTCTCCTCCTTTCTATAAAATAAAAATATGCGTATTATTTTAATATATTTCAGATGATTTGCCCCAAAATGTCACTGCGTTTAACAAATTTTTCTATCAGGGAGCCCAAAAGAAAAATCCAGTAGCTTGTCACTGACAATTTGTTTGAACAATGTTTGCAGGAAAGAAATATAGATATATTGAAAAAATATCGAATTTTTACTTATCTTTGGACGTTTCGGGACCGAATCTGATCCCGTTCTCAACATAAAAATGCAAAATATTTCTTTTTTGAAGTTGCTGCTTTTAGTTTGATCCTTCTCAGTATCACACTGATGTTGGCATATGAATGAGTGATTTTAGTCTACAAATGAGTTACAGGATGTTTTCATTAATTAATCTTGAATCTACCATTTTCATGTTCAGTTTTCAGGATATGTTCAGTTAGCTTTGATTTATCGATATGTCTTTTCTTGATATTGTACTTGTGTTCTTTAGTCCTTACTGAGAGAGGTCTATTCGTTTCACCTGTATAGTACTTTCCACAAACACAAGGTATACTATAAATACAATTTTTTGATGATTGTTCTTCATTTTTTGACTTTGTTTGAGTTAGAATGGATCTCATTGTATTTTCAGTTCTGAACACAGTTTTGAACTTATCACCAACACGTTTTATTTGTTAATATGCCAACATCAGTGTGACACTGAGAAGAGTCAAACTATAAGCAGCAAGTTCAAAAAAAAATATTTTGCATTTTTATGTTGGGAACGGGAGCAGATTCGGTCCCGAAACGTCCAAAGATAAGTAAAAATTCGATATTTTTTCACTGACAAGCTACTGGATTTTTCTTTTAGGCTCTCTGATAGAAAAATTTGTTAAACGCAGTGACATTTTGGGGCAAATCATCTGATTTGTCCCACTACAAATATATTGAAATAATACGCATATTTTTATTTAATAGAAACGAGGAGAGAAAATCCCAAAAAATCAAGTAAAATGAATGTACCACCTCCTTGATTAACCTACAGACAGTAGTTATTGGGATGTTTCCTTCAGATGACTTTTCATAAAATGAGTTCGGAACTCCTCAGTTTTATGTCCACGCCGTACATAATGGCGATCGATGAAGTCCCAATCGTTTTTATTTTCAAAATGAAGCAATTTCCTATTTTCGGGACAGGAAACTGGGACGTACATTCTGAATCTAGTCTGAATATAGCTAGCGAACAGCTAACTAATAAACAACGAATAAAAAAAAGAAGAAAAAGACACTTTGACGGCGTTGTTGATTATATCATGAAAAATAACGATGATCAACTAACTAACAAGACAACTATAAACTGTGGAGATAGGCTAACGAATAACTGGATATCATAAATCGATACAAGTAAAACTGGTAAACAAAAACATACATAATCACAAAATCAGATCAGCTCTCGGTGTGCCTTTCAGTATTTGGTGTGGTGTGGACGGGCTCTGAAGTATTTTGCGCAGTTGCAAAATATAATCTGCAACCTTCCTAGAGAATAGATATTTATAGAATTTTCTTATGTCCACCCTGTATGGCTCATTCTGGTTGCAAAATTTATTCTGTTATGTGCTTTTTTCTACAAAATTGCATCTTTTATATTTTCGAATACATTTTGAAGTTTCATCGCCATCCATTTTTTTTTCTAAAAAAGCACACATCAATACCCCTTAACAGTGCCACTGGTAGTCAGATTGACTAAATAATGCTATCCATTCAATCACTCTCAGGTAATGAGTTATGCACCAGAATATCAAGATTTTTGTTTAGCGTTCATCTAGAAATTCTATGAAAATTATTTTTTATTTTCAACTTTAATGCCCTGTATCTCGCAAATGAAACGTACTACGACTTTTGTTCATGGGAACATTTTTATTTTCTTGAGACGCCCTATCACCTCTTAAAGTGCATCACATATATTACGAAACACCCTGTGTAATAATAACATCAATGAATAAATGAAGTCATTATTATTTCCTTCATTTCCTTCCCCATCTTTGGTAATCACACAGTCAATGATCTGACAAAATACAAGGTGTTTAAATACATTCTGTTACAAATTTCCAAAGTTGATAGTACTCCAAATTGAAAGAACATTTTCTATAGAAATTAACATTTTTTTTTTTTCATGTCTCCAGATCAAATTTCAATTTGAATTTTCCCCTTTTTTCCATATTTGAATGTTTTCACGCCCTAGAAAACCTATCAAATTCATATTTTTTTACGCGCACGTATCAATTCCATCATTTTCTATTGTCATAGAAAAAACATATGCTGGTGTATTTTTTCAGTAAATGGAAAAAACCTAGAGAAAACCCACTATTGGTTATATTCTGGAATATTCCCTAGCCATATCTGGAAAATATATTTGAATAATTGAGTGATAAACATCTGACTTGAGTGCAGCAATATTATTAAAAACATCGACTTTTCAGAATGAGAGAAAGATGCATGATGACGAGATGACAGAAGATATCCCCCAAAGAAGAGTCCCTTACCACTTATCTGAAAGTACCATTTCTTACTTGAAATTTGCATGTTTGTGACGAAGGCAATGACATAATCAATTTCAAAGTGGGAAATTCGTCTGCCGTTAGAAATCAATGAAGTTTAGGCAGGCATGCAATTCTTCTTTATCAAGCCAAGTTAACATGATATAATGAATTGGGGGTTGATAATAAGCTTAAAAACATCGAAATACTATGAAAACTGCAGCATTTTTTTTGTAAATTTATAAGTTCCTATGATATTTATTAATTGATCTTATAACTTGTAAATAGTCAATTGTTTTTCTAAATGTTTCATTGATAATTTATCAAGTAATTGCTAACGGTGTTCGGGTGTTATTTGATGACATTATTTTATGTTTTCGGGACGTAATACGCTATTTAAATCATCAGGGATAACCTTGTCACTTGATTTGGAAGAATTGAGCTTCAGAATATGAAACTTCGGCGATTTTTATTGACGGACGATTTTTCCTAAGATTCAATTTCAGATTTTTCCTCCAAACATTTTAAAATTATTTTCTGATTTGTCATTGTTTCAAGACTGAAATCAACATTCGCAAGTTTCTAATCAGTAATTTTTGTTTCTAGGAAGAGATATTGATTAACCTGGATACTTTTGTGTATTATTTTTTGAAATATAAGAAATAGTTGCTCTTCTTTTCAGATAGTGCTTTCGAATACATCATTTTATTGAAATTTTGTATTTCGTTCCGTAATTTACAGCATCAGTGAAGTAATTTTGAATTGTACATATTGAGATATATGTAGTCTTTGTAAAATAAATATGTTAAGACATATATAAATGTTTTTTTGCTTATAACAATGTTTTTTTGTAATAGACATCACAATGAAAAATGTCCATATTTTCAAAATACTTTCCCAACATCAAGATAAAATCATTAGGAGAAATAAACAATTTGGATATGGGAGTACATATTGAAAAATCAAATTCAATTATGGTTTCTCTAGGACCTTTTGACATGGGGTACACTAGTTAAAATGCATTTTTAGAATTTTTTTGCCAGATAACTCGTTTCTGCTGTCCAAAAGAGTCTGGTGTACTCATTTCTTATACCTCTACCACATTAAGTTCCCGAAACAGGAACCCTCTTCAACGATTATCAACACTTTTCCGTCTTTATTTGCGAAAATCCTTATTTAGATAATATAGATGAAAAATGCAATTTGCTTGCCTACATTGGAAAATAAAATTGAACATTACTATGGTTGTCTACATATCATGTTTTAAGTTTTTCATGCATAATCGGATAGAAGCTTCCTGAAAAAGTAGTTAGAGGTCCGTATCTCAACTGTTTAACGTACCCAATAGGTTGATTAAAAGCTGCTATCTTGGATAATAGTTGAAAGAGGTATAATATTGCTGCCCCAGAAGAATACTGACTCAAATGCAAAAAAGTTAATTTTGCCGAAGGAAAAAACGAAGTATGTTCGAAAAGATAATATTTTGAAATTTGATATGGATATTTGAAGTTAAGTATGTCTATTCATGCTAAACGAAAAAACATATTAGTCAATTTTGTCAACACTTATTTCCCTTGATTTTAAAAATTGAAATAGATGACGGATCTAATTGATTTCAAATATATTCAAATAATATTTTCTGTTCACTAATGAGCAGTGATAGAAGCTGGAATCCTCCAAAATTCATTGGGAAAAGATGTAGACATTTCTGAAATCATATACTGAAATAAGTGAAATAATTTCAATAGAATAATTGCACTTATGTAGGCAATAATTGTAATTATTTCGTTTCAAAGATGTCACGCTGTCTCTGAAATTAGTTGAGAATATCAATATCTATATAATCTTTTCCATCGATAATATGAATCACTTTGTATTCTATTTGTGAGAGGAGTTGAACAGATTTATAATCATCAACAGGGATGACCATCAATATACTATGAAAAAGTATCAATTCCATTCATAATTTGTTTTATTGCTATTTTCAATGTCACATTCATAACAGATGAAAGATTGAAACGTTTCAATTGATTTGTCGGAAAGAACAGTTGGGTCGTTCATAATCTGAATAATCCGATGTAATATATGGACTGAAAGTGCAATTATGATTAGAAGCAGATAGGGTTTCAGAGGATAACATGAGGCTTGGGATAGTTTATCGTCATTATTTCTTTGATATTGAGAAAGAAACAATGACTCAAAATGCAGTCGATATTTCACCAAAATAATGTTTTGAACTTCATGTCCAAGACTGCGTTCAGCGACGGGTCTGATCATAGTAGTTCGACCACAACAAGCAAAGAAGTTCTGAACTAGCATCATCGGTCCATGTGTGGGCAACAGTCACTCTTGATGTATTTTAAGTTCCATATGGTTGTACGTTGTTTCATTAGTGCGTTTCAAGTGGATCTGTAATTTTACTCCACTCCTATGAGTTAAAGTATAGGACAGATTTGGGACAGATAATTCACCTTCATCCATTTTCGTTTCAGGAAGTCAATAGAAATAAGAGAATGAAATCGAGTAGGTACCTACTAAAGCTCGGTCTCGGCATAAACAAAAACTATCAGAGGTATTGACATATGTGTGCTCACAATATTATCGATTATAATTCTGTCAGTAATCAGCGAGATCTATAATTGCTTAGTATCTTGGTAACACCATGAATATTCGAAATAAATTGAATATAATTCATGACAATAATGGGAAACTCATGACTCTTTGATCTAAAACATAGTTGGTATTGAATCTCTTATTTTGAATGAATTGGTGATTGAAAACTGTATATACATAACCCATCAGGCGCCTACCCAGGTTGCATGAGGGTTTACCGATGCCAAGGGCCGATACTCTCCTCTCGTAAGGGTACTTGTCGTATATCCATTGAGGCATAAAGGTATGACTATCGAAAAATGTTCTATGATATATCGCCTTCCATAACAAATATGAAATTTGAAATAAATATTCGAAATGACTAGAATAGTAAATAAGAATGAAAAACTTATCACCGGTCGCTGGTTTATAATAATAATAATAATAATAATAATAAATTGACTTTATTTGACAAATGTACACGCATTTGCCCTGAAAAGGCGATGATTAGCTAAATATAGCTACTCTTGAACTCTTAACCTTTTCAGTTTACAGAATAAACGAAAAACTAAAATGAAAGTATTATACAATGTTATTAATATGGTATATGTATAGATAGAAGAGAATAGATAAAATGCATCGATCTAAAAAATGTATGTGTTATATATGCATAGATAGAAAAAAAGGAAGTTAATCTAAGAAAGTAACAATTTCTGGTCATGTTTCCTCTTCTGTACAATCTTTCCGTCGATTATGGCTTCTTCGATCTAAAATATATTGAGAATTAATATCATGAAAGTTATACATGGAATAAGAAACTGAAATATATACATCTGAAAACTTTTTTTTCAAATTCCGTTGCTGAAACGCGACATTACTCAAAAAATGACCGAAACAGATAGCCAACAGTTTTCTCCTAAGCAGCCTCGTGGCTGCTTCGACCTAGAACATAGTAGGTATTATACAAAAACACACCATCTTGAAAAAATACAACTTTCACACACTCAAATGAAAATACACTAATCACTAAACCGAATATGAATTTCAATTTTCCAATCAATACTTCCGAGTTCTTTTTTTACAATCACTTTAATCCACCGTACCTACGCGATGAAGTCTAGAACGAGACTGCTGATTGGTTTGAATCATAATTCAAATGACTAATTCGTTACGTCATCCGTTCCACCGATAAATTCCCGAACGAGTATGAGTAATGAGTAATTCTGATATCGACAGTAGGTATACGGGGTGGAGTGAAAAGAAATTTGAGAATAATTTCTTTCATTTTCTCATCTATATACGAGGTGTTTCTGAAATGAGTTTATATATTCAGCAAATCAATAAAATATAGGCTAATAGATTTTCCCAAGATATCAGATTTTTGCTAATGAGAAATTTGATCATGAAAATTTATTAAATATTGCCTTCCGCGCGGAAATTTGTACAGAGGTGATGTCAGAATTGCTACAGTTTAAAACTTTGGATGGATTTTTATAGTTTTCCTATGGATGCCCTTCAATAGTATTCATGCTGAGTTGGGTTAGATTTTTATGTTCAATTTACGAATTAAATATTTCAAAGTTTCGGAGTATCGGCTGGGAATAGTCCTGCACAATTCGCTGTTGCGTACCAACTAACAGTGCTGCTTCTAAAACGACGCATGGAGTTAGTAACAAAGCCTACACAACACACATAGGAAGGAATGGTGATGATGTGTTTGTGGGCATCAAAGGAGAAGTAGGACGGTGTATGTAGGTGGGTGTGAAAAACTACGAGCTGAGCGTGAGAGCGGGCCAATGCTGCTTAGTGGGAGCTCCGACGCCACTTAAAGAGGTAGCTGGCAGGCCTGTCGCTGCAGCATACGGTGATGAGTACATTAGTAGCTTACAAAATACAACCGATGAACTCTGAAAGAGAGCTGATTGGACTGTACAGGGTCATTCCGTATATTTAAACAGCTTCTACAAGGTTCATCATTGAAGATAGAGAAAAACTTCGAAAGCAAAAGTTGTAGGGTTTGTTCTGATCCTCCAGAAAATCATACCAGATGAATCAAATGAATATCGCTGATAAAAAATGGGTACCAACTTCGTTATTCTCAATAGAACACCCTATATATTTGATGTATTGTCACCGAAATTATGAACACCTGCCACATTTCAAGTTAATCGAAGTTGAGGAATTTTTGTTGAAATTAAAAAAAAATGGCTGCTCCAAGATGGCGGACAAGATTTTTTTTTTATCGCTTGGAGCGCACGAAAGGGAATCCCTATAATGTTCAAAGAACATCGTGCTTTCCTAGGGAGGATAGGGATAGGAGGTAGGTATTGGAATTTTTTTTGAACTTCTGGAGATTATATGTTGTTGGGAATACTTCCTCAGGCAATGAATTCCAGAGCCTAGCCGTTCTATGGATGAAGGAGTTCTGATAAAGTGCTGTTCGACATCTTTCGAGGTTGACAACGAAAGGATGTGCTGACTGGGCTTGTCTAGTTCATCTGACTGGTATTGCTAGTGAAGGGATGATAGCAGAGATTTTCGAAGCACATTTCCCGTGGAAGTATCGATAGAAAAGTGAAAGGTCGCCGACCTTTCTACGGTGTTCCAATGATGTCAAAGAGTGAGTGGTCCGATTCTATTCAAAATTGGTAAGTGGGGGTTTTTGAGGTCGGAGATGATGATTTTTCTGTTGAAATTTATGAATTCAAGATGGCGGCTTCCAAATAATGTTTTGTTCTTGTATATAAATGACGATCATTGCGTTGTTATCAACACAAAACTATTACTGCGACATATATCATCTGTAAGAGAAAAAAAAGTTATTTGTAACTAAGTCATAGTGAGCTATGACCTACATTTGAAAAACCAAAGTTGGTGCTGATATCTCAAATTCTAGAAGAGTTGGCATAAATTTCATATTTTTTTCGAAATCACTTTGAAAAACTGCCATGAGAATGTGAAATGGGCTTATATTACAAAAAATTTTTATTTCATTATTCGATAGAACTCACCGAAACTAGCTCACCACCGCAAACCGTTTCTTGCTGTGAGCTCCCTACGTTTTATAAAAAATTATTGAAATCCCCGATTTTTCGGACCTCTGAAAACGAGGCGATGATGTGACGTCAAAACCATATTACTGAAACAAGACTATTCCATACAGAGATGAATGATACATGATTTCTGACAGAGTGAATTAGCGCGAGATCACAGTTGAAAGAACTAGTATATATCAGTTGCCTCAGTCTCCGTCGGGCTTTTGTTACTTTCTTTTAACTATGGCGAGATGAGGTTTCTACGTCATAAGAGAGGGTCCGTTTTCAGATGGTACTATTATTTATGTCCAAAAATAAAACATTCCAGTTAATTTTTCGATCGAATTATGTCGTCAATCATTATTTATGTATAAAAGGATCATTATAAACATAGTTTGAGTTGAAAGTTCTACCAAGGTGTACACGCCCATTCCTATTTGAATATTTTCATAAATAAAGAAGTTACGGAGGAGACATGAAAATGATCAAAATCTGTTTTTTGCGTATAAAACAAAAATAGATTTTATCAAAATATTTTTCCACATCATAGTTGGCCTTGACAAACTCCACATTTGGTGTCATTTAACCGACCTCGTATCTCTCACCGTTAAAAAGATACCCATGCGGTGAGCATGGCAAGTGGGACACACTGTATATTTAGTGTGGGTCGCGGGTTGATAGCTATAAAGACATACACTAATTTTTTCAGTTATTCAAAAAACCTACATTTTTACATATCCATGAGGTTTCCGAGGGGGGAAGGGCCATGGCCTCATGCCCCCACCCCGGATCCGCCCCTCTGCGAATGCAGAAGTTACAGGGGTGGTCCGATACTCTGCTCTCTGTGTCACGGAAATAATTTTATCAAGGCCTAGCTGAGATGTGGTAGAGACACATCAGGTGAATAAGATCCTTTCCGTCATTCCGTGACTAAAAACGTGCACCACTCCATATCGGTAGTATTACATGCACACGTGTTGATGCCCCATGTCTATTAGAATTGGATTGTTATGTGCTGATGATTAGATTAAGCATAGATTAACGAATCTATGGATTAAGTTATAGCTTTGTTAATAGATGTAGCTATGTTAGAACGGGTGTAACAGGATTATATGAGAAACAGTAGAAACACCCTCCCCCTTTTCTACCAGTCTTGAATTTGAAGATGATAATAATGATAATTGATTTTTTTTTTGAAAATGTTTGTTTTTCATCTGGCATGGAATGTTCAGTTATATACAGGGTATATGTCACGACGAGCTTACACTATCTCTATATTGAGAATCAGTCGGGAGAAATCCATAGAAATATGCATGCTCATAATTTAGAATGTGCCCTCTTCATATTTGCAGCAATGCAGAGTTGCCGCTTCTATCAAAAAGTAGCAACAACTTTTTTTTTTTCAAATAGAATACCCTGATGTATTTCACTGCATTTTCAGATTCTCCCTGAAAATCTGATTTCATCGATATATCACACTTGGGGTCTATCGGAAATGATAACAGAGAAATAGGGTGTTCTAAATCGAGATTTTTCAACTTTAGGATTTGTTTGTGTCGAAATTATTCATTATCCGCCAAAACGGCTCACATGCATGCCCCTATCTCAACTTTTGATTTACTATTTTCACTGCTATTTAATCGGAACAGAAACAGGGTGATCAGGCACTCTGAATCTTGAACCACCCTGTATCTGTTCCGATTGAATATCAGTAAATAGTGAATCAAAAGTTGAGATAGAGACATATGTGAGCGGTTCTGACCGTTAATGAATAGTATCGTTACAAAAAAATCCTAAAATTGAAATATCTCGATTTTGAACACCCTATATCTCTGTTATCATTTTCGATAGACCCCAAGTGTGATATATCGATGAAAACCAGCTCTTCAGGGAGAATCTTAAAAGTGCGATAAAATATACAGGGTGTACTATTTGAAATATCAATGTTGCTACTACTTTCTTGTAGAAGGACATATATATTGATAACCTCAATATAAAAAAGGTTAATATCGACTTCTTCTCCATTTCTTCTCATTTCCAGTACTGCCATCATGAAATGTTCCTTATTTTATGTTGGAACATTGATGACAAGGATATAGGCCAAGGCTACGATTTCTTCTTTACATGTTGGCGTTATTATAAATTAATATAAATTCGATATACGACCCAGTTTCTTCAAATACGGACCTGGAGTTTTAATTTGATTTTTTTTCACCGTTGAATAGCTCAAATAAAGCTATGCGAGCTATCACACATTTTTATTTTCATTCACAAAAATTGACACCGCCTTGTATTTTTCAAAATTCGATTTGTGATATACTTATAATTATATTATTTATTAACTGATGGCATAGGTATCCAAAGGTAAAATGAAAAATAAATTGAAAAATCCAGGTACTCATTTATAAAAAAAAAGGTGATGATGGTTTCTGGAAGACGAACGTGTCGGATTTCAAAATTGAAAACGCCAACTTATTAGAAAGAAAAAGTTACCATGATGAAGTGGCATTCATATCGATGAATATTTCTTCAAATAACTTGAAATACAGCTATTTCTATTTTCGGATATATATATACAGTGCCATTCATAAAGCCGTCATCTTATGGAAAAAACTTTTGATAATAATTTATTTTGAAATTCGACTTGGGCGTTGAGTTTTGCTCAAAAAAAGATGAAAAAAGCCTACTCGGTCAGTCACGTGACTACCGCTACATGTCAAAAGTTGAATTTTTTCAAATTTATTGCTGGAATTAGTGTTTTTCGTTCGTATTTCAAAAATGTTTACTAGGAAAATTTGTAAAATCAGAATAGAAACTCATTTTCTTTGTAAACTTTTTTGAAATTCGAACAAATAAGCCCATTTTCAGCGATTAATTTCAAAAAAAATTTACTTTTGACAAGTAGCGAAAGTCACGTGACGTGAAATTATTATTAAAAGTTCTTCCCATATGATTCCGACCTTATGAATGACACTGTATTTATACATACAAGGTGTTTTTGAAATAAGTGCACATGATACAGTCTAAGGAATATTCCCATGATATCAGATCTTTTCTATTTCTTCTAATTAACGAGAAATTTCATCTCAAAAATTGAACAAAATACGAGAAAAAAATCAAGTACGCCAAACGCCACTCTAAAACGAACGAAAGAATTCCGAATTTTCCAAGTTATTCATGAAAAAGCGCATAACTCTGCCTTCATTTTTTAATACCTGATGTGTACGTATTTTTTATAGTTTACGAGATTGGATAAAATGTCCGAAATTACTTGATCTGTCGAAAGCGAAACTGAAGATGAAACCAATACCGAAAATTAATGAAAAAATGACTTATAGGTATAGGTAGTTGTTAAAAAATCACGAGGGCCACCGCACACCTCGCGTCTTTTGTCGGTCGAATTCCGCAACACCCTGTAAAGGAAGAGTAATATATATAGGTGCTGATTCTAGTCAACCAACAAAAAATGTACCAACAAATATGTTTTACGCTATATACGACCTAAATATAGTTAATGATAAAGAAATTACTAAGTTTTTTGAAAGTTGCACAAAATCTTTAATAGCATGCAAATCGACAGTTTACGCAAGAAATTAATGACGAGAGGCGATAGAGGTTCTTTACGAGCTTTCTTATATAACCAAATCCCAATGCCACTTTCAGATCTTGTCCCGCATCTAATTTGAATAAATCTCATAAAAATAGAAAAAACGGCTAGTCATAATAATCATTGATGGGTAATTCATAAATGGCAACGACGTCGAATCACGTGGTCCTCCTACCTCCACGTTACTTTAAACGTGATCTCTCGTTTCTATCATGTGCACCGAAATCGATATACGCAGACATACGTTTCTGCTATCTCTCTCGCTCAGATGAGCTAATGAATCAGCAACCATGAATGAAAATAGCAAACCGCTATCATAGCATATAGGTGTCGCTAGGACGATTCTGGCTACAGCCAGTACAGCCGTGATAAACAAAAAATTAAAACGGGTAATCCCACACGTGAACTGACAAAACAACACAAATTATGGTCTGTATTAAACCATCAAACGTTAAAAGTTAAACGACGTATTGGCGGAATTGAAATTGATTATGATGAAAGATGTGTACATAGTCACGTAGCATTGCCATGAAACAGAAAACGACGGAAAGCGATTGCGTTCGTCTTTGAACATTTTTCGCGCTCACGTGTACTCTAGCGTGTTCACTGTTCCTTTCCTATCAGTGCCCAGCTAACTTGACTGGGAATCGTCGGAATCGTCGTTCGATTAGCGCCTTGTGACACCTGTCAAATTTCCCGTAAACAGGTGAACGAGTCCGCGACAGTGTGATGTCTGTCTGCTCGGCCTGCTGATCTGATGATACTATGTGTTTAGCTATCTCCGGGCACTGATTTTTGGATAAATATAGTGTGGTGCGAAAATAACATCGTCCAGAAGAAACGAGAAAATGGATATGACACCAACGTATTGGGAGGAAAATTCGAACATTCAACGCGTGAAGTATGAAAGGTAGATACCTCTATTATTGTGATGCGTATTATTTTCAACTTGGCATGATTGGTATACAAGTTATGTATGTTATTTGTTTTGTTATTGTTGTTACAACAAGATAATATAGTTCGCTGACGTAAATACGCCCTGATGTATTTAATCCATTCGACAGATTGGGCTCCAAATTTAAATATCGCTATTAATAACTATATAGATTCAAAAATCTGGGTGAATACTCACATCGCAACATTTATCGATATATTCGCACATTTATTTTTCATCGAATCATTATCGTCAGTTCATATAATATAAATGTATAATCAAGGAATAGAAAATAGCTGATTATTATTTCTGAAAAAAAAACAATAAATCGCTTATACTTACAATCAAATTATTTAATTTATATTTCGATCTTAACCTACTTTTCTTCAATAATTATATATATGCATGGTTACAGGGTGTCCCAGCAGAGGACTTTTTCCTCTCGGGAATATTTAGGTAGCGATGGGGCCGGGGTCACAATATATATTACCAAAAAAATGACATTCACTAATTTCCGAACGAAAAATCGACTATTTTAGAAAGCAATAAGTATTTTTTCGTCAAATCACATTTTTACGTTCTACTTTCCGAACGAAAAACCGGCTATTTCCCAATAAGGCAAGTACTTTTCGTCCGCCGACACTAACTGTTCGTCCGCAAACACTTTCGTCCGCTGCAGAGTTGCCAGTTATACTGAATTTTCAGTAGATCTCCTGATTTGCATATTGATCTATACATATAATATACATATACTGATCTACTGAGACATTTCATAACCTACTGAAAAATACTTTGTCACTTATTTATCATTATAATATATTATTATTATTAATCTTTAGCTATTCACATACACTTATAAATTGCATGATATTTCGCTCCGATCGAGGCTCGCTCTGTTTAAATTAATTTTACAAAATAAGTATAATACATTTATATATGGTACTAATGATTAGTAATGATATGTATACACCTAGGTATAAACCAAGAAAGGAGGATACTTTATCTGAATCAGATCAAATTAAATTTTTCATATCTATACCTCTGTTATAACTCGCGGTTATAACCGGTTATAACAGTTTGTTTCTTACTTTTAATTTTTTTATTTGTGTTGTATTTTAGTTGTTCAATTTCACTATTCGTTCCTGTTTTTATATTTATACTCAAATCTTATAAGTACCTATAGGCCTGTTCGTTTGTGCTTGCTCATCCTGCTAAACTTGATTTTTTTCTATGACTTTCTTTGTTTACATCATGGCATGAACAGAGACAACTATGGGAAAAAGATCAACTTTAGCCAGTTTAGCAATACAAACGAACAGGCCTCTAGGTAACTGTATTTTGTGATATTTGTGAGTATTTTTAAATTGAGAATAATTATGAATATGATTATTTTTTTGAGGAAATGTCGTTTGTTTTATTGTTTCTATTTTGTTGGAAATAGTAGGTTACTTTTCTGTTTCTTAAAAGTACATAATCTCCTAACGTTATATATGTCTTCAGATGCAGACACTTTTTGATCATCCGCAAGCTCTTTTCGTCCGCAAACTCTTTTCGTCCGCAAACTCCGAGGCAAACTCTTTTCGTCCGCAAACATCTTTTCGTCGAACTTTTCGCGTCCACTAAACTGTGGAAATGATACGGCACGTTGCGAAATCCGCTAGATTTTACGTGTTTTTACGAAAAAATTCGAAAAACTACCAAAAAATTCAATATGCACCCCGGCGAAATGGGAAATCTCTGAACTACAGATAGAAAACACCAAAATATGGAAGATTTAACCCGAAATTCAACCCGACGTCATGCTTTATAGAAATGTTGCAAATTTACATGGTGTTCAAGGAAAAATTCTTAACTTTGGTTGAACACGAGGTTATAGACATTTACTTTGAAATTCTGTTTGTTCATGGCGTTATAGTAATTGTCACGGATTGTCATCATCATTGATTACCGTTGATTACTTTTTACTTTTTTCCACGATCACTTCGCTATCTTTATAATTTAAAATTATTGAAATGTTTTATAAAGTGGAACATAAATCTCTTCAAGAGCGAATAACATAAAAACCGTTAGAGTTAGATAATTTGAAAAAGATTTTATTTCCTATGTAAAATTGAACGGTTTTTCAGATTTTTCACTTGTTTTGATCATTTATTGTCGAATAATTGCCCAAATTGGGTCTATAACAATTGAAATAAAATGGAAGTCTGATGATCTTATGCAAAATGAAATTTATAGTCTTCTTTATAATGTATGGGCGTTGATTGATATATTGGGCCACCTTGAACAAAATTTTCGTCGCATAATATCCGAGCTTGTATCCGATGAATCCATATCGAATATCGACGGAATGTGGCACGTTGCACTGTGGGTGTGACCTTGCTGTGAACTAGACAAAATTTCGAAATGAAAATTTGAAATAACAAAATTCACTCGAAAATTGCAAAAGTGCGAAAAAAATGCGATGGAAGTAGGTCGAACCGTCATAGCGATTTAATTCAACATAATATATGATGTTATACGTATATAAAGAAATGTATACATGAGAATGTATGTCACCAAGTTCGCGATGTGATAATGGAATTTCCTCAAACATTTTGTTATCTGTGATTATATCAATCAATATTTCAGCAAATCATCAAATACAGAGGCAAACACTCTTTTTGTTTACGCCGAAAATCTAAACGAAAAATTCAATCAGTAGGTATATGTTTAGTAGAGTCGATAGTAGAGTCAATGACACCTTGTTATTAAAAATGTTTGAAAAAGAGGAGTCTAGTTATACCGAAAAAATATCAAGTTTTTACTTATCTCAGACGTTTCGGGAACGAATCTGTCCTCTTTCTCAACAAAAAAATGTAAAATTAGTCTGCCAATTTTTTTCCTGTTTCGTTACAGTGGTTCGTGATAACTTTTCCTCCGGTTTTTTCCACGCCATTGGTGAAATTCCGATTATTTTGAAATTTTCGGATTCCCTGTTCTTGAAAAAGCGAATAGGTAACCTTCAATTAAGCTCTATTACACTAATATCACAATGTGACGAAAATAACCCCTCCAGTATTGTGCACCCCTTTTTGAAATTCAGAAATTCTGAGCACAAATTTTGATTCAATTTCAGAAGTTCATGCCGAGGTTTTCTAATGGACGCCATATTGAATTTTAATATTTCTGAATAGAGCTTTTTTTAAATCCTATGATATACTCTCGTATATATATACTACACAACATGTTTTGGTTTCATATCATGGTCGAAATTTCCTAATTAACATTTTTTCGATTTTGAATTTTGACAGTTCAGTACAGTTTTAACCTCGATTCCTAAAAGTTCACTCTTTAAAATTGCAAAATGCCATTTTCCAATGGAGGACAGAGAAAAGTTGGAAATTTATTATGCTTATCATCGAAATATTCAAGTAAGGAGTGAAACATATTTACAACGTTTTCCTGAAACACATCAACCAAATATTGGATATTTCCTAGGTCTCCGTATTGGTCCTTAATATTGGCCGTAAATGAAGATATTCATTTAATTATGGTGAAAGTCAGTGGTTATACCCTGTATTCCTCAATATTCTTGTGAAGAAGGTGAACATCATCGACTTTTAAGCATGTATTCAAATATAGGAGTAAAAACTGGTAGGTATCCTTCGACATGAGTGGCTTTGCAACGATATATGGAAGGTTCAAGGTTCGATTATTGAAAATGACTTTTCGCCATTATTTTGCACAGGTAGCAGTTCTTTTATTTTACCAGTTGACCTACCGTTTTCGTATTCTGGACATTCTAACCCTGAGGCAAGGTACTAAAATCCGAATCACGTGTTCTTTCCGATGCATGCGAAATTCTCGGTTTTTACGTATGGTCATTCGACCTCGGCTGGAAGAGAAGTTCACTCCATACACAGGGTGTTTCTCAATGATATATAGAGGGTCAAACAGCATCAGTAAATAAGTAAATTACATTTTCATGAAAACATATCTCAGGCTGCAGTTCTTAGCATGGTTTCTACAGAAATATCGAAAAACATCGCTCCATATTTTTGTAAGTTGAGATTCTGAAGCAGTACCTAACTCTCGCTATTCGTCAATGGCGCTGTAACGTGTAGTGTGCTATTCCCAAACTAAGTTCCTGTTCTAAACACAGAACCCGGTCTTTGAGTTCTGTGGTTCTAAAGGTAGAAAGATTTCCTCTCGAATTTCCTAATGCTTCATTCTTGTCTTCATCAGACTCAGACATCAATTAAAGTTATAATTATCATGATATCTTTGAAATAATTTTCTTGTTTGGAAAAATCTCGGGTAAGATTAATCCTCAATAATTATACGATTTCTCATCTCCAGTTTTTACATACAAGGTCCTGCATATTGAAATAATTATTTTATCAGCGGTAGTTATAAGTGTTCCTATTCAAAGTAAATAAAAATCACCTATCTTGGAAATGTCATCTGAATTTGAAAAATAGACAGTACCTAATAGTAAACAACGCAATTTTTTGTGTAAATTTTGATTGAGCTTTTAATTTCGATATTTGTGGTGAGTTGTTTCCAAGAAATATAACAAATAGTAGATTGATTATGTATACTTTGTCTCAATAATTAATGAGATAGTTTTTTGTCGCTCCTGTGAAATTTCGATATGCGAATTTATAAAGGTGGAAAATCAATGGCAGTTTGCTTTAAAGACTATGGCTAAATCTGCGAACTTTTTCCAGAAAAATCGATCTTACACAAAATAAGTACTTCTACGCTTCTACCAATATTTGATGGGTCTCGCTTCCACCAAAATTTGAAGGGCCTCGCTTCCACCAAAATTTGAAGAGCCTCGCTTCCACCAAAATTTGAAGGGCCTCGCTTCCACCAGAATTTGAAGGGCCTCGACCGAAAATTTGAGAGGAAAGTGGAATATTTTAGGCTGTTTTTTGTCTTTTCAAATTTTGTATCAGAATTATTCAAACAATATTCGTTTGTAGCAGAATTCTTCATTAAAAATATATGCGAAATGTAGATGAAAGTGAAATCGAAGAGAATGTTCTGGTACTTGCATATCTCCAAGAAGTGTAAAAATGAAGCATCAATCTTTGAGAACAATTCATTTAAATCTGTGCTAAGCATGACAATAAACGTGAAACAAAGGTTAGTAAGCAATGGACTGGACACATCTACAACCAATATCACTTATAATATGTGTCTCGCTGGTTGCATGCAGTTGCATGTTGCATGTATTATGTTCTCAATTCCCATTCCTTTCGAATTATTTTGTAGGTTAGCAGGAATAGCAGGTATGTTCATGTAATTTCGTAGTTCGTAGAAAAATCATAGTATGTAACGCGTTTATAAACTCACTCGTTTATTAAACACTCGCTCCGCTCAGCTCCGCTCGTGCTTAAAATACTCGTTACTAAAAGGACGTTTATAACACTTGTTACATAATATAACTATTTCTTTATATAAACACATGTCCTAAAATGCACTTGCTAGGAGCAACTGTAAGGTAGGTAAAAAAAATCATTATCTAAAATTTTGACTAAAATAATGGATCAAATCATCTGAAAATTGGCATGCCCATGTCTTTTTTGACACTTCATCTCCTTCTTGCTTGAAAAAATATGTAAATCCAGTTTTGGGGGAGGTGGAGGGGGGGGGTTCACATTTTCATTAACTCGAAGGGGGTGCATTTTAGGACACATGTTTATATGAATAAAAAGTCTTATTTTGATCTCAACAATACGCCCTTCAAATATTTACATCGAATTTTGAATCACCCTGTATATACGTTATTTTTCACAAAAAAAAGGGAGGAAGTTAAATGCCTCAGTGAGGCCTTCTCACAGCCCATCAGAAGTTTTACAGGGTTATCCCTAAAAGCGTGACAAACCACAAATTAATTTTTTTAATTGGAACACCCTGTTTTCATATTCTTTTCGGAAACTGTGATTTTTTGTGATCACAAAAATACAAAGTGATTCATGAAGAGACTCACATAGTCAAATGGTGAATAGGGGATATCAAGACGAGCTATATATATGAAAACATTTTTTGACCCTCCATAATACCCTGTTTATGTGAAATCGCCATATATTTTTGATGGCCGATATTTCAGTAATGATTCATTGTAATTTGCTGAAATGTGGCAGCGACGTTTCCCTACTGAAACTATTCAAGATGGAATATTATGAAAAAAAAAATACGGATTCGGACTTGGGAAAATATATTTTTTCTACAAGCGTGCGTGATTCACCCTATACCCGCACGCAATTTAGTTTGGGAAGTGTAATTTTCCCGCAACAGTACGGGAAAATTTTCCCACACTAGTGCGGGAAATTTTTTTCCGCACTAGTGCGGGAAAACAAAGATATGATATAATCGCTAGTAATATAAGTGGTTGGTGATGGAATATAAAAGTTTAAGATTGTTTGTTGCAGTATTAAGTATGTATGTTCAGAATCATCCATCAAATTGCACTATTTATTGTAAAAATTAAGAAATATTGAGAAATAAAAAGGGATTATTATAAAAATCCCCCTATAGATTTGGAGTGATCTGACGGGAAACGTCAATTTGTCATGCCAATCAAACCACAAATAAGTTTGAAATTGTCGAAGTGACAGACACAGCGTTACTGTCATTTTCGATTCAGTGGAAATGCCACAATGTGATCAAAAACTTCTAGCTATAGGGATTTGATACAGATGCGTTAATATCACCAACGAAGTCTTAAGAAAGGTATGAGAAGCTATACACGCGTTTAATTGAATGGTGCAACAATAAAGAAATGAAAAAACCGAATGAAGAAAAGGTATTTTTGGCTCATTCCATAGAAGTGTCTGGAACCTAGAGACCAAACTCCTAATGGGTCTGCTGGCTTCTGCAATGAACCAACATAATGCGTCAAACTGTAAGTTCACAATAGCTATTACTAATAATTAATAGATAGAGAATATATATCTCTTGTTAGTTGTTCCTATTTGCTTGAATATTTGATTGAACGATTCAATCAATTTCCTACGCTTGTAGAAAAAATATTGTTCCTAACTCATGCGGAAAGTGTCTTTCCCGCACTCGACTGCTTGCCCGAACTCCGCTTCGCGTCGTTCGTGTCAACGGCAGTCACGTGCGGGAAAGAATCACTTTCCGCACTTGTTAGGAAAATTACTATTTTATTGTTATGTCAAAAAGTATATGGCAATTTCATATAATACTTCGCATAATACCCTGTATCTTCGTTATGGATGACCAATAGAATTTTTCATATATACATATACATCAACTCGTCTTGATTTCTCCTAAGTATTCACCATTTGGCTATGTGAGTCTCCTCATGAATCACCCTGTATATATATCCAGTATGACTTTTTATTTTCACTCATCAACACCACTTTTCTGATCCCAGAAAAACTATGTACTTACCTATAATTAAATGTATATTGCATCATTATCGAATACATTCCCAATGATCACCAATTAATTAGACGAAAATTGTTTTTCTGGGGTCAAAAGAGTGTTGATAAAGAAGCAAAAATAGAAGATATCATACTGTATATATATAAATATATACCGGGTGACACAGGGTATCGGGCCACCCCTGTAACTTCTGCATTCGTGAACGGATTTTTCTCAAATTTGGTACCATTTCGGATTTGATCTCATTGAAATTCAATATGGCGGAATCCCGATTTTTCTGGAAATGCCATCAACTTTGTTTTTTTCATATGGAACACCCTGTATAATTTTACATATTCTAGTTCAACAAATGTCTATTTTTCGAAAATATTATCATTTTTGTAATTCGGTGCAGTAACAAATTATATACATTCAAAAATCAATAACTAGTTTTATAAATTTCCTTGCAGTTTGAATAATTTTCCTACTAAGCTGTGGAAAACAATTCTGAATCTCGTCATAAAGATTGCACTTGTTTTCACCTATTGAATTTGAATATGTAAAAATATACAGGTTGTTTCATTTGAAAAAACGAAGCTTCTGGCATGTCTAAAAGTACCAGAAATCTGAGAAATCCGCCATATTGGATAGTAATGTCATCAAATCCCTCGTCAAATCCGAAATGGTTGCTTACAAAACTATACCAAATTTCAGACAAATTTGTTCACGAATGCAGAAGTTAAAAGGGTGGCCTGATACCCTGTGTCACCCGGTATATATATTTTTAAAGATCACAAAAATGAATGAAATGAATGATTTGAAAAAAATAATTCGTGGTTTTTGTCACGCTTTAGGGGTAGCTGGAATCAACCCCAACATGTTTTTTTCAAATGCAACCCTATGGCTTGCGACCCCTCATCGGAAAGCTGATTGAAACAGGAATCAAGCGTACTGATCATATTATCTCAGTTTGCAGTACGTTTGGGGGTTGCATAAAATCAAAATATCATCTCGAAACTCAATATATGTCAAACGTATTCTCATCAAAATTTCGACTCTTAGTGACTGTGATATAGATAGGGCATTTCCACCAGTTTCCACCACTTCGTTTCGAACTGTGAATACGGCAAAAAACTAATTTTTTTTTGCGGCTCTATAAAAACACGGAAATACAATAGCAGATAGCAGTTGTGGAAAAAAATTGCCATCATTTGTTCAACACACATTTTGAGCGTTTGATACGTTGGACAAAAATTGAAATTTAAAATTATGTTTTAATTTTATGCAAACTTCAAACGTACAGGGTGGGCAAAATTGGGCGTTTTCACCGTCTATCTCAATAACAAGAGGAGTTATCGAAAAACCGATATACATGTTCCGGGTTCGATTTTGGAGAAACATCGAATGGTACAATCAAAATTTCGATATCTTCATTCGTTTTAGAGATACAGGGGGAAATTGAAAATTTGCCGATTTCGATTTTATTTTCTGACTACTTTACGGTGAGAGGTATCAAAACATTTCAAACGTATATTCATACAGTATGGTGCGTGGAATCCATTGGCATCATCAGAAATTTTATACAGGGTGACGTTGAGAAAATACGGCAGCCAATTATGTTTTTTCTAATGGAACATCCCGTATATTTTGGCACAGTTGAATAGTCCCAGTCGTTCTTCCAGCTTCCAGCTTTCCAGCTCTGCCAAAATATACGGGGTGTTCCATAAAAAAAATTGTTCTGTATCTGGAATTTGGACATCTTCTATGAGGCTATATTTTTCAACGCAACCTACTGATTTCCTAATTGAGTAAATTATTGGCCTTATTTCTGTATCTCAAATGTCTTGATAACAATGATATCAAATCGAATAATTTCCCATTTTATTTCTCACCAAATATCCATTTATCTGGAAATCACATTCCCTATGATATTTATTTTCCACATTTGGTGAATATATACAGAGTGTCATTTTCAACGTCGATTCTGCCTGTTGATAGCATTACTCAGAAATATCGATGATTCCATAGCTACTGGCGAGCAGTGTTATCATTGGAGATGATCCCACTTGGTCCATGACTCCATGAGTATCATTTGTATCTTTCTGACAGTTGCGAATTTTTGAATCCTACCTCAATTATTTTTACAGAAGATACGAGGGTGTAACCATAAGAAATGTGACACACTGAATATATTTTTGCGAATATATCTGAAATTGTGGAAGGAAAAGGTAGGGTTATATATATATTTGTAATGAAAACGCCTGGGACTATTCAACTGTGCCAAAATATACGGGGTGTTCCATTAGAAAAAACATAATTGGCTGCCGTATCTTTTCAACGTCACCCAGTATAAAATTTCTGATGATGCCAATGGATTCCACGCATCATACTGTATAAATATACGTTTGAAATTTTTTGATACCTCTCACCTTAAAGTAGTCAGAAAATAAAATCGAAATCGGCAAATTTTCAATTTCCCCCTGTATCTCTAAAACGAATGAAGATATCGAAATTTTGATTGTGCCATTCGAGGTTTCTCCAAAATCGAACCCGGAACATGTGTATAGGTTTTTGGATAACTCCTCTAGTTATTGAGATAGACGGTGAAAACGCCCAATTTTGCCCACTGTATATATGAAAAACTGAAATCTGACTGGTACGCTAGATTCCTCTTTTCTTCAGCTTTCCAATGAGGGGTCACAAGCTATATTCATTTCGAGAAAGCAACCGTTTTCGAAATAAATAAGCATATCCGTTCTAAAAACATGTTTATTTTGCCTATATTATTATTATTTCGCTTAAATTTTACTATTGGACGAAATTCGTAGGAAATACAATAAAATGTACAGAAATTAGAAATTGGATTTGTAGCGGCGATACCAAGGATAGAAGGTGAAGGTTTTTTTCGTTCTTAAAGTTGGTTATATTTTCTCCAAGAATAAAATTTTTAGCAGAACGTAGGCAAATTTAACATGTTTTTGAACGGATATGCTTATTTATTTCGAAAACGGTTCGTTTCTTGAAAATAGTTGAGAGGCAATAAAAGTCTCTAATTTGAACAATTCACATAATCCGGTGACTAGATGATGTTAGAGGGGTAATACGAAAAAGTTTTGGGGGGGATAAAGAAGCCTGTCCCTCCAAAAATGTATCACTCTGTAGATATTGAAATCTTGAAAATGGTTGAAATGATCATCTTCTAGGAAGTAACTACCTCACTGAATTTCAAATTGATAACTTCAACAGAGAGCAAGATATTCTAATTAATAGAAAAAAATAATGAATCTTTGACCTCTTGATGAGATATATCACACATTCCAGTTTGTGCCTTAAAACCTGAATCGCCCTGTATTCATCACTCAATGGTAATCGTAGGAGGATTTTTTTAGTGAAACAGGCCCATTAACATTTTCCATGAAAAAAATCAATCGCGTAAATATTTTCGATTTATATTAATATATCAGTGGATGCGTTGCGCAAATGTTTATAATAATTTTTGTTTGTAATTTTCAGTTGTGGTTCACATGACGAAACCAGAATGAAAGACGAGCGAGGAATATATGCTTGTTGTGATACGTAAGTATATCGAATAACTCGAGAAATAATTTTACAAGGTGTGCTATATCTGCTATCTGAAAATAGAATAAATTTAATACTACTAATACTACTATTTAGAAATAGAAGAAAATCTTCGACAGGTGAATTAAAATTTTCAAATGTCCATTCGCATTTGAGTAAAAATTGAATTGGTTTTGTTCAAATAGTATACAGGGTTTGTCACGACGAGCTTACACTATCCCTATATCGAGAATCAGTCGAGCTCTCTTCATTTGAAATAATTTCAGCAATGCAATGTTGCCGTTTCTACCAAAAAGTAGCAACAACTTTGTTATTTCATATAGAATATATACCCTGTATTTCATTGCATTTTTAGATTCTCCGTGAAGAGCTGATTTTATCAATACATCAAAGTTGCGGTATATCGGAAATTATTACAGAGCTATAGGGTGTTCAAAATCGAGATTCTTCAGCTTTGGGATTTCTTTGTGTCGAAACTATTCATTATCGGCCGAAACGGCTCACATGTCCCTATCTCAACTTTTGATTCACTATTTACTGATATTTAATCGGAACAGATATAGGGTAGTTTCAGAATTCTGATCACCCTGTATCAATTCCGATCAAATATCAGTAAATTTAATAGTGAATCAAAAGTTGAGATAGGGACATGTGAGCCGTTTTGACCGATAATGAATAGTTTCGACACAAATCCTAAAGTTGAAAAATCTCGATTTTGAACACCCTATATCTCTGTAATCATTTTCGATAGACCCCAAGAGTAATATATCGATGAAATCAGCTCTTCGGGGAGAATCTAAAAATACAATAAAATACAGGGTGTTCTATTTGAAATATCAATGTTGCTACTATTTTCTAGTAGAAACGGCAATACTGCATTGTCGAAAATATTTGTAATGAAGAGTGCGTATTCTAAAATATAAACTTGCATATTTTCATGGATTTTTCCCGACTGATTCTCGACATAGAGATAGTGTAAGCTCATCGTGACCTGTATTATTCCATTTTCGGTAGTTCCATCTACAATATTCAAAATTGTATAAAAAATGCATTTGTATCGCGAAAACCTAGACATTATTATAATGATCAAGTTCATTGTTCATTTAGTTTTTTTTTACTTGAGATAAGATGGTTGTTGACTCGATTTCTGATTTATCTTTTCATTTTGTTTTCAGGAATTTAAATTTTTCCACAGCGACCTGTAGCGAAGACGATTGTGAATATGGACCTTATAAGAAAAATAAAGTTGCTAGAGTAAGTTGGTAATTGAAATTGTTGATAATGTTATAAAAATACAAAAAAATAACAATGATCTGATGGAAACTTTCTGTTGTACGTTCCGTTAATCGAGTAGGTGGAATATCGATCCATTTCTTCAGATTTTTTGAGGTTTTCTATATTCGTTTCTATAAATAATGAGTATTATTTCAATATACAGTGCTGTCGCAACGACTCGCGTAAAGTTCTGAATACATTCATTTTTCTGAGAAATATCCTGAAACAGATTTATTTTTATTTTCCCAAATGGAACACTTAAAATTTTTGGAATTCCCATGGAAGAAAGTATCACACACAGGGTTTGTATATACAATACTTCAATGCTCGCGATAAGTGGGTGGATACATTCCCTTTTATCGGTACTATCAGTTTATGAGAAATCTTATGAAACAGGTCAATATATATTTACAATTTGCCATATTTACGAGGGGAAATTGAATATACAGGGTGATCCACGTTTGAGTTATGACGTCCGAAACAACTTTTTCAAATGGAATACCCTATATATTATTCAATTTTTGGAATTCTCATGAAAGACTGACTTCAAAACTATATCACACTCAGGGTCAGTGTGAATGTTAAATTAATTGCTATATCGTGAAATGGGGTTGTCATTAAAAAAAAAAAACGATGACCTAATTTCTTCTACACGAATTATTCTGTATGTATTTATTGAATTTGGAAGAAAGCCTGAATGAACATAAAATTCGGCTGCTCTGAGCGTGCTTTTCAAAAATGTTTCTTTTAAATTTCAACGATTTTATCCACTACTTCACGAAAGCACTTAATTTAACCGATACACTGTATACAATAAGCCCTGTATTGTTATATATTTTTGAATTCAACTCTCCATGGAGATTCCAGAAATATACAGAATATTTGATTTTCCTCATAAATGTGGCAAATTGAAAATAAAAATCGACCTTTTTTAGGTGATTGATACTGACATATGAATTAAAATGAATTTATCCACCACTTTATGAGAGAACTCAATTTAACGGACGCACTGTATACAAACCCTACTATGTGTAATACATGTTTGTATTCAGTTTTCTATGGTGATTTCAAAATCAAATAATATACAGGGTGTCTCATTTAAAAAAATTGTCGCGGTCGCCATGACTCAAACGTGGGTCACCCTGTATATATAATTTTCCGTTATGAATGTGGCAAATTGAAAATAAAAATCGACCTGTTTCAGGAGATTCCTCAGAAATGGATAGTTTAGTTTTCGAAAGCACTGTATCAAGGACGAATCAGATCATTCCAAAATGTCACTGCGTTTATAAATGTCACTATTAGAGAGCATAAAAGAAGAATTCCATCGATAGTCAGTGACACCGCTTGTTTTGAAAAGAAGAGAAAAATAGATATATCGAAAAAATATAAAATTTCCGGTTCTTCATTTATAGCTTGGTACGTTTCGGAAACAAATCTGCTGCCGTTGTCAACATAAAATTGGAAAAAATATGTTTGCCAAATTTACTTCAGGATTCTGTATTTTCTCGAAAAAAATCGACTAACCCTGTATTTTTCAGCAAGATCCAATGTCGCACCGCATTATAGAAAAAAGGAGGAGAGACCGAATGAACAACTGTTTGGCAGACTTGTCAAGATTGATACCGACCGAATACCTGAAAAAAGGTAGAGGAAGAATCGAAAAAACAGAAATAATCGAGATGGCCATCAAATACATGAAATACCTGCAACAAGACCACGCCACACCCACAGAACATTATAGGTGCAGTAAAATATGAGTTGATTATCTTTAATTCACCAGTTTTGCGAATTTGTAAGGGATCTGTACCGGGTATCCCAAGTTATCGTATACAGGCAATATCTCGCTTGTCAAGATAATTGAAAAATTCAAAAACTGCATTGAATGACATTGAAGTACCTTCCTGATTACATAAAAAATCTATTACATTTGACAGTTCTCTGGCAGCTACCTCCCACTTTTTTTTCAAATGGCACCCCCTGTATTTTGTCATTGGAAATTACGTGCCATTCAATTGTGACTTGCTTCATGTTACTCAAATATCCTTATGAAAATGAAAAAATGCCTCCGCTTATGTTTTTGTTTCAAAAAGCCGATGCTCATGTCAAAATAATTTTGAAACATTGCTGTTATTTTTAGTTCATTTTTTGATTTGCATAAAAGATATTCTAGTTGAAATTCATACATACATGTTGCTATTTCTGTTGTTATAATAATAAAAAAATAACAAGTATATCCTATCCTTGTATTCCTTACAGGATGACACGTAATTTTTAATCAATATACAGGGGGTGCCAGGGGGTCAAATGTAATCGATTTTTTATACGTCATTAGGACGGTACTTCAATGCCATTCAATGGAGTTTATGAATTTTTCAATTACCTTGTCAAATAAGCGAGATATTGCCTGTATACGATAACTTGGGACACCCTGTATACATCGTGTCTCACTCTAAACGGCCCCCCTCGATATCTCAGCTACTATAGTAGTGCGATTCTCGCCAAATTTGGGCTGGTATGAATAACCATCAATATGATCCGAATTGAAAAGGAATTATCTCAGATATATTGATACAAAAAAATGGATATATATTAAGAAATACATTTATTCAACAGAAAACAACTACTTTCCTGGCTATATGCCACGACAAACATTGAATTACATCTATTGAACACACACGATAAGAATTTGAAAACAAAATCTTCTGAAGTAGAGGATTTGCATTCTTCTTCATATGAAGATATGCACATAATATCATTCTGAATATTCAACAGAAAACAACTACTTTCCTGGCTATTTGTCACGTCGAACATTGAAAAATCAATATCCTCTGAAATTGAGAATTGATATTATCTCTCAAATCGAATAGAAATAATATGATGTATATTTTTATATCATAATACATCATATTATTCTATTCGATTTGAAAGATAATGTAAGTTCTCAATTTCAGAGGATTTTGATTTTTCATGCTCTCTTTTTGGATATTCAACAGATATAATTCAATGTTCGACGTGGCAAATAGCAAGGAAAGTAGTTGTTTTCTGTTGAATATTCAGAATGATATTATGTGCATATGAAGGAGAATGCAAATTCTCTACTTCAGAAGATTTTGTTTTCAAATTCTTATCATGTGTGTTCAATAGAAGTAATTCAATGTTCGTCGTGGCATATAGCCAGGAAAGTAGTTGTTTTCTGTTGAATAAATCGATAAAGAATTAATATTTTCATCACATGGAGAATGCGAATTCTCAATGTATTTCTTTATATATATACAGTGTTACCGACTTCTAATGGAAACACCCCTGTATCTTACGTAATCGTTGGGTAAGGATTCTGAAATTTGCTGAAGCAAGAGATATACCAAAAATACACTCTATGACCAAGTGGGGTCATCTTCTGTGATATACACTGCTCGCCAAAAGCCATGGAACCACCCCAATTTCCGGAAAATGATATTAGGAGTCAAAATAGGTTGAAAATCACTTCGGATTCGTAATCAGGACGTCCAATTCACTAACTATTCATAGTTTTCCTAAAAAATGTTCAGTTCACAAAAATTAAATTTTGCCTCACTTCTCATGGAAGCACCCCCGTATCTCACGAAATTATTGAGGTAGGGTTCTGAAATTTGCAGGAGGAAGGGAAAGTCCAAAGATGAAGTCAATTACGTAGGATACGGGGGTGCTTCCGTAAAAAGTGCGATAAAATTTAATTTTTCAGAACTGAAAAGTTTCCAGGAAAAATATGAATAGTTAGTGAATTGGGCGTCCTGATTCCAAATCTGAAGTGATTCTCGACCTATTTTGACTCCTAATATCATTTTCCGGAAATTGGGGTGGTTCCATGGCTGTTGGCGAGCAGTGTATATCGCAGAAGATGACCCCACTTGGTCATAGAGTGCATTTTTGGTATATCTCTCACTCCAGCAAATTCCAGGATCCTCACCCAACGATTACGTAAGATACAGGGGTGTTTCCAATAGAAGTGGGTCACACTGTATGTATGTATATCCATTTTTTTGTGTTCATAAATATATCTGAGAATATTCCTTTTCAATAGAGTTTAGGTCAGTTCCGAAAACCAAAAAATGATTATTCCTCCATCAGGCTGGGTTACCAGGAGTGCATGTCGGAAGCGATGCGCTTCATGGTGGAAGTCGAAGGCCGCTTCCCGCGCGAGGCAGTCTGCGTGCGCCTGCTGAACCACCTGCAGAAGCACTGCGAGTCCGTCTCGCGCGCCCCCGCTTTCGACCCCGATCGGCTGTCGTCGGAGCACATCGTGCCGGGCCCGAACACGACCGAACCGCTGCCGAACGGGGCGCTATCGACAGGAAGCGAGTATGCCGGGCCGAAAGCGGAGCCCGAGGCCAATAACAACAACAGCTCTTTCGTTGTTAGGTGAGTTGATATTTTTCGATACTAGCCTATTTTATGAATGGTCTTTAGAAATTTAAATGTACGCTAATTTAGTTGCGATTTCTATCATCCATTTCATTATCAATGTGCATGGGAGAAGATTTCTTAATTCCGACAAAGTTCATTTTTATGAGTTTTCCCCTCGTTTCTATAAATATAAATTATTATCATTTCAATACCTTTGAGGACAAACATTTCGATGCTGGTATTACTATCAGCAATAAGCTTTCTTGGGAAAATCACGTGAGATCAATTGCTAAAAATGAATCCCAAAAACTTGGTTTTCTGTTTCGGCCCAGGAGCTATTTCACTTCCAGTCAGCTGCTCATGTTCTATAAGGCACAGATCCGACCTGTCCTGGAATACTGTTCCCATATTTGGAGTGCAGCACCCAAACATACCCTGAAACTGATGGATTCTGTCCAAAAAAAGGCAATTCGTCTCGTGGGTGATGCATCGCTCACAAACTCACTGACTTCTCTGGAACACCGTAGAAAAGTTGGCGATCTGGCTCTATTTGATAAATATTTTCATGGGCGATGCTCTTCTGAAATATCAACAATTGTTCCTCCCTTGGCAGTCCTCGCGAGATTAACCCGTCGAGTTGAGGCTTCGCACCCCTTCGTGGTCAATTTGGAGACCTGTAGAACATCTCTTTCCAAAGACTCGTTCATCCAACGAACAGCGAGGCTCTGGAACACATTGCCAAGGGAGGTGTTCCCCGAGGCATATAGCCTCCAGAAATTTAAGAAGAACACCAATTCCTACCTTATTGCCCTTGGTTCTCATGATGTTCTCTGAACATTACAGGATATTCGTTTTCGTGGGAACCAGAACATAAAAAAAACAATATTGTAGTAAAGACAAATTAGATGAATTGTCCCTAAATGTTATTGCGTTGAAAAAATTTCACAATGACAAACCTGAAGGAAACATTCAAGCAGTGAGATATTTTTTTAGTAAAAATGTTTCAAGAAGAGGAATGTAGTTTATACTGTCTGTAGGTTAATCGAGGAGGTGGTACATTCATTTTACTTGGTTCTTTGGGATTTTCTCTCCTCGTTTCTATAAAATAAAAGTATTCGTATTATTTCAATATATCTATATTTCTTTCCTTCAAAAATTTTTTCAAACAAATTGTCACTGACAAGCTACTGGATTTTTCTTTTAGACTCCCTGATAGAAAAATTTGTTAAACGCAGTGACATTTTGGGGCAAATCATCTGATTTGTCCCTCTACAAATATATTGAAATAATACGGATACTTTTATTTTATAGAAACGAGGAGAGAAAATCCCAAAGAACCAAGTAAAATGAATGTAGTTTATATTGAAAGAATATAAAATCTTCACTTACCTTATTTGGACGTTTCAGAAACGAATCAGCTCCCGTTACCAAGGTGAAAGTGATAATTCAAAAATTATAACGTTAATCAAAATTGAGCTAATCATAAACCTTAATCTTTTTGATGGAGTGGATGGACTGATCATTTTTCAAAGCAAAGATTTGATTTTTGGTACAGACGTAGACCTTCATGGGCCGCACTTTTTGCAATACTCAGCCTGAGTGACAGCCTTAAACCCAGCCTACTGCGATCCCGGGATTATGGCAAATTCTCGATATTTTGCTTCGCGTTGGAGATACCGAATAATGTTATTTGGAAAAGTTGCTTTGAAATCGATTTTGATCCTACACACCTAATTTCAACGCAAAATTCGAATTTTGATTGTTTTGTTATTGTCATATTCCAGTCCGATTCTGTGAATAAAAATCTACAGAAATGATCAAATAGTCAGAATAAATACAATCGAATTTAGTCTCCTTTACTAGCCTATCTCTCAAAATTCAAAATTCGAATTTCGGTATGTGAGATGAAAATCGATTTCTAAGTAACTTTTTCAGATAACTTTTTTATGTATCCAACGCGAAAATATCGAGAATATCCATAAAAATCTTCCATGAGTTTTATGTGTCAATTTCATCAACAATCGTCATGTCTCATTTATTGAGAGTAGCAAATTTTACAGGCCTATAGACATCGACGACTCCACCAAAAACGACCATTCACCTGATACGGACTATGAAAAACAACAACCCGAGAACAACGGAGCGTTGTACAAGTACAAAACTAACATTAAACTGAGGTTCTCGCAAGATGTGAACGGTGGCATGCAAGAGACTACCAAAAGAGAAAAGCTGGAGAACGGGAGGAGGACCTCGCTAACCAGTATCGAAACACAAAGGTACAAAATTAACAGAAAAACGCTCCCAAGATGGCCGCCATTGACCTAGGGCAGTTGTGAGGGGAGGGTTAGAGGAGGGGAATAAATATGGATGAGAACAGATGGAAACGATTGAGAATGGGTGAGAATGGACGAGAATGCACGAGAATGTATGAGAATGTATGAGAATAATGTATGAGACTGTATGAGAATGAAAGAAGATGGATGAAAATAGATGAAAATGGATGAGAATACATGAATGAGAATAAATGAATGAAGAGGAGCTAGACTGACATACGCTCCAAAGACGGCTGCCATTGCCCTAGGCAGGTCTAAGGGGAAAGTCAGATGATGAAAACGAGAGAATGGACGAGAATGTGAGGATGTATGAGAATGTATGAGAACGAATGAGAATATATGAGAATTAATGGAAATGAATGAGAATGGATGAGAATGCATGAAGATGAATGAATGAGTATGAATAAATAACTGAAAATGGATGAATCAATGAATAACTAAGTAAATATCAATATTTTCAGTATGAGCCACAGTTCTCCTCCGAGCAGCGAGCCCTGCCACCGGATATCCGACAGTGAAACCCATCGTAGATCCCCCTCAGACAACAGCACCTCCTCCACCACCAACAACAATAACAACCACCTCAAATCCGATCTGTCTCGAAACGAGGCGTCACAAAGATATTCGCCCGCCCTCAAACGCCTCTCAACCCAACACAATTTCAACGTGCCCATCTTCGTGCTGCACGCCAAAGGGTCGTACTACGTGCCCTTGACCATCGACTACAAGACCCTTTTGCCCTTTCTGCAGAACTACGACATTCTGGAGGTGTTGCCGAGCATGCACGTGTTGCATCCCGTCACCATCAACGTCAACTTCACTCCGAGTTTCAATGGCGAGATGAGTACAAAGTACAAAAGTGAATGCAACAGCTGGCATTAGGCAGGGTATGTGCGTTCGAAATTTCGGACGCGTATGGAAAAAATTCGTAATTGGACGCAAATCATCTGGAATCAGTGAGGTGGCGCGGCCACCAGTATTTTCAGCTCAGCGGCTGTCAAAAACGACTATTCTGCAGTTTTCTATGATGTCGACAAATTGACTGTATTTCAGAGGGGTATTTTCTTGATAGACCAGGTTCAAAACGTTATGAAATCATAAATTCCCTTGATGAAACTGTGGCGTCATCAATGAACGCAATCGATTCTGGTTATAATTCTGAAAGAACGGTTCAGAATCGAAAGCAACTCTGAAATAGGGTTTTGAAGTTATGATTATTCTAATGAATAAAACAGACAATGAAAAATCGATCTTGATGAAAGCTTCCCTGAATTATATGAGGTTAGTATATTGAGTTTCTCCTTTTCCTATCAACCTCAAGGTTTATCAACAGTTGCTCCTCTGAATGGAAGATTCATGTCTGGAGTCTATCCAACATAAGATGTGTCTGAAACGATTTTTCCTGGGATCCAAATTCACAACCTCTGAGTAATTGAAAATTGTGCAAAATAAATTCCTGAGGGTCGTGCATTGTTGGACATCGATTTAAGTTTGTTAATAAAGAGGAACAAATTGTTGAATGAGGATCGGTAAAAGGTGAATAATTTCCATATTGATACTTTAAATTTTTGAAACTAACAAATGTTATTTCAAAAATGTCTGCCTTCCTGAAATAGTTGAATGACGTCACCTTCGAATACGGCTCAAAATCGACTTTGAATGCGGTTCAACAAGAGAGAAAAATCTCAAATTTCAACAGCCGACAGCGAGATGGGAGATGACCAAAAAGTACGAAGGAGAATGGAACAGTTGACGTCAACTTCACTCTAAGGTTCGATAACGAGATAATAAACAAGTACAAGAACGGTTACACTATTTGGCATTAGGTTTAATTTCATTCGAAATTTCGGACGCGTATGAAACTTGATTCAAGTCCTCTGTTGTAAGTAGGGTGGCGCCCGCTTCAGCATTTTTTGCGGTACTCGACTGATGAAAAGTACCATGTGTATTTCAAATACATAAAAGGGGTGGAAAACCCTTATGAAAGGTGAACTTATGAGAAGGTGGTTGCGCCACGATTATTGGATTGATTCCAGCATGCTCAGCTGTCAAAAACGACTATTCTGCAGTTTGCACTTTACACCTATCCTGTGGTAGGTACTTTTTCTGTATATATGCTGGAGTTTGTGAAGGGTGAAGTACTAAAAAGGCTGTGATGGTCAGAGGAATTTTCCAAGACTGATTTGAAAAATATAGTCTGTAAATGAACCAGGTGAAGTTTTTAACTGTCTTAGTGTAAAGATTATACACATGTTTGTCAGGATTTTTTATTTTGTGTGTTCCTGGAATCTTCCATGTGAATGTAATATCGGGTTGAAAACAATGTTTTCAGATAATTCAACCTTGAAATTTGAGTAAAACTAAAATATATTGCCACCACGCGATTTCTGAGTATTATTTGGTTGTAATTCATTAGGTCATCATAATTCAGTTTTGGAGGTAATCATCGCATGAAAAATGGCAGAATTTTAAAAGATCACAACTTGATAATCATGATGAAGCAAAAGAAGCATTGTTTAATTCACTATTCTACACATTAAAAAACTAATATGATTTCTCTTATTTCTCCACAAATTCTTTTCAAGTGATAAAACTATGCCTTAGAAATCAAAATTTGCAAGTGATCATTAAGTAAATAAACCAAGAACCAAACAACCAAAACCATCATACTATCAGTAGAATGTTTTACATTAGGTGTGTAGCTTGGCTGTGAGTGTTGAAAGATGTTATTTATGATGGTTATAATTGGTCAACTTTTTCCAAAAAGTAGGAATGAAAACGATCTGTGTTCAAAATTTGCAATTTGTTGGTATTTAAAGAGGCTCAAATTTGAATTATTGGTTATCTTTTCAAACTGTTTGGTGATACTGTGACCTGTTAGTAGAAATAAATGAGATAAATCAATACTCAAGTTAAATATTTGCAGGATTGTTGATAGGAATAGATCCAGTGTACATTTTGTTCTGATTTTAGGAACTGAATTATAAAATATCATATTTGTAATGTAAAAATGTTGTTGTTGAATATTGAAATGTTTCATTGTATTTCATGTTGTCACAAAGTGTAAATATTTTAAACTACCAACACTGAATGTGTTTAATAATGGAAATAATGAGTATATCTTATTTTTATATCTACATTTTATAAATGGTATAGGCAGATATGATTGTAAATAATCTCAACTAAGAAAAACAATAACTGTTTAATAAAATTGAAAGAGAACCAATACTGGAGTATTATTGAATATCATAGGATAGGAGTATGAATGAATACTTTTAATAATAACATAAGTGATAATGATAACTCATGATGACTATTATGTTCAGCATTTCAATAATTCAGGAAAAGAGCAAAACATGTTAGGAAAATAAAATCCAGAACACTGGAGAGTAAATAGCTATTCTTCATTCAATTTTATTCAGAATAAGAACAAATGAAGGTATAAAATCTTTGGCACTTACTTTGTCTACTAAAATACTTTGTGAACCTGGCAGAATCCCTATAAACAATGTTCAGGTTATTTTCTTCAGGCTCCAGGGTGATAAGTGCATTCTGAATTTCATCTTCCACAGTTACATATTGTGTTCTAGCTCCAATTACATCTGAATTCTCAGCACAACCAAAATAAATTATGAGATCAAGTTCATTCTTTTCCTGCCAATCATAATCTGACAAAAGCTGGAAAATATAATGTTCAAAATTCTAGCAAGAATTGTTGGAGAATCAATAAATATTGAACATTCACTCACAGAATAACATCCTGGAGTCCACTTCTGCAATTCGAATTTCATTGAAGCATTATATGAATTCAATTCCAAATCAGTATATTTGTGCAGTAGCTCAAACATTTGAGTAGATTGAAAAAGACTAAGAAACCTTTCAAGGCAGTGAGGAAGGCTAGTTATATCAACTTTCTCATATGTGAACCTATTAGGTGGGCCAACCTTAAGCCATTTCAAATCTAAAAATAAAGAATTTTAGGTCTATTTTATTTTCATTTTTATTATTACCTTCATCTTGTAGACAACTTAAGATCTCATTGAAAGATTCATTCTTGAGAAACCCTCTGAGTGATATTTCAGAATATTCCTCAATGTGTTTCTGAATCAGTTGCATTGAACTTGAATTCAAATAGTCTTCATTTATCCAGGAATTCAAATCAATATCTACTTGAATGGCTTTGTTAACATTTTTACTGTAAAGTCCTTCATCAGGTAGGATGTAGGAGGGTGTTTCAAAAACTGGTGGTATTTTTGTATGAAACCAACCATTTATGCTGAGTCTACAGTCATCTTTACAAGTAACCTCAGCTACCTTGAAATATCAGATGAAGAAAGTTCTTTCTTGAATTATTCAAATCTTACCTGATGATATGATTTACTTGTTACTGGAAATATTACCAACTGATTATTTACTGGATATATATCTCTAACAATATCTTTTGGCTGCCCCATGATGTCTGTATTCAGTAACTGTAATGAACCATCCCTTTGTTCATTCCAACCCTGTTTTCCTATCAAGTATAATACAAAAGCTACCATCCTATCTTCACGTTGATCATCATGTACCAACAAATAATCTGTATTGCTGTATAAACTACATGTTGCAGATATATGTGTTAGATTAAATCCAGTAATTTCAGCTACCTGGAATACTATTCATTTAAAATCTTAAGGGATTGATAATGCCAACTGAGCTCACCCACTGAATCACATCAGTATTCAAAAAATCATACATGTTCTTTATATGCTCAGAATGTAAGTATTTCAAGTCTTTTGACTGAAAGAATTCATACAAGTCCATGTAGCGTGAGTTCCAATCCAAATCATTAAACTCTTGTCGAATTTCATTTAACAAATGAGGGTTTTCAAGGAAATTATTCAAAACACAAACTTTGAATGGATCCACTATCAGTTCTGTATAATTATTGAATAATTTTTTATTCTGGTTCCAACATTCCTTTAGTTCTCCAATAGCTGTATTACTCAGTAGTTTCTTATTAATTTGTGGAGAGATTTTCAGCTTTTTTGAACGTTGTTCATCTGGATCTCTAACACATGTTGGCATTAAATGAACTGTGATAAAAATAAATAAAAGCTGTAAGTGATGTGAAATCCAAACTTATCAAGCTACTCACAACCTATGAGGCTAGAGGTTTTTTTAGGAATAATTCTGCAATCGTCGTCCCATATATTGCAATTCACTTCTGGTTCACTTTCATCAGATTCCTCATAATAAGAGACATCTTTTGATGAAGTGTTGCTCTCCGAGTCAGATTCACTGGGTGTACCAGACATTGCTGAAATTTTCACTTCGTAATTAGTGGTGAGTGCTTTTTTTTTCAAATATCATACCAATTTGGAGAAGACAGTAGAGTACAGTTTTTAAAGTAAGGAAACTTTGAATTTTGACAAATTTTGATTTCCTAGTGCCTATAAGTGAGGTTAAGGTTACTCTTCTTTTTATTTTTTATTTTATTTTCTGGCACCTTGCCTTTTTCGCAGTGTCAGTTATGGCCAATATGACGAAAAATGAGTGCATACTACGAAGGTCAGAAGAAGAAGAATGTATTTTTCAGGATTTAGGCATTTTAGGTTATGTTTTGAAAAGCATTTCTGCATTTTTGATAATAATTATTGTGATTGTGAGATTGTGAAGTTGTTAAAAATGTTAAAAACTTGGTAGAATGAAATATTGAAACAAAACGTAGTAATGCAAAAGGAATCATACAAGTCAAACAACAAACATGGTAGAAGCTTCAAGCTCAAGTAGCTCTTTGGAAGAAAGCGAAAATGAAATAAGTAAAATGAACAAGCATAAATCAGAAATGATAAACTCAATTCTGTTACAAAATGCCAACCAGAAGTATAATCAGATATTGAATACGATGGGATTACCCAACAGGAATCCAATCATTGTCAAGAAAGTTCAAAATCAGTCTCATATGTCAAGAAATAAGGATAACACTAGAATGAAGCTCCAGAGAAAAAGACAGGAAAAAGTTTCAAGTAGTGAAGAATCATCAGAGGAGGACGCCACTGTAAATGTTAAAAAAGAAATAAATCAATTTTCTGATGAGAATGAATCAATAAAAGGATTATCTGGAAGTAAAATTGAGGAAGAAAGTGCAACAAATTCTGATTCTGATAGTAGTAGTGCTAATGATTCAATTGAGGAAGAAATCAGTGGTACTGTGGGCAAAGTAGTAGCCTCTGACATCCAGCACAAAAAAAATAGTAAGGAGAAGAAACTGAAGAAAGTACAGCCAAGACAATCTATTTCTCAGGATGATGTCTCTGAGGATGATGATGAACGTAAGTTATTTCATGATCAAGAAATGGTGATTGATAGTTTTTAAATTTTTGTAGTCATTGAATCAATTGAGGGAAAGATTCTAGACCAAAATCGTTCCAGCATTGGTTTTGATACATCTGCAAATGGAAGACTAAATATTATACAAGATGTTCAAGTTAGTCCAGCAAAGGTAAATTACAATTTTTCATTGTTCTCCTTAACTAATTAATCTATCATTCCATGGAATTGAAATTGATTGTATCAGCCTAATAGCCTAATCATGAACTATTTTAGTATCCTATCAAATTATTCCCCTTTTTCTTCAGGCTAGGAGTCCCAAAGAGCAATTCAAGAAGCTGTATCCAAATATTGAACAGTTGCTAGTGGAATTGCCAACAAAATTTTTGGATAAATATGATTATCATCTATTTAGAATACCAAAAAATATAGATCCCCAGCCAATGCTGAATATGGAAATAAACATTCATGAAGAGAACAAAATAGTTTGTGGAGACAAAAAATTCATCATAAAACCTACTGCAAAAATTCCCAGTCCTGGACTTATAGTCCCTGAAAATAAAATATTGAAATTCAAGAGCAACATAGTAATGGAAAAGTATGTAAAATCAAAGAAGCATCCCAAGCTGAAAAGTGTTGAAAAACAACCTGTTTCCTTACCAAATGATTTGAAAAACCGTCACCCATTATTTGGTTCGAATTTTGAAGATAAAATTGAGCTAGATGAAGACATTAAGAGAAAGTTGGATGATGCTATTTCCAGCTCATTGAGAAGAGAAAAGAAATCCAAGAAAAAAAAGAATAAAGTGAAAGATCAGATCCACAATGAAGAAGTAATTTTCAACTTGTTAAACAGTGTAGGTACTTCTTCCAAAGGGAAGAAGAATATCAAGAGTGAACCATCAGATGATGGTGCCATTGTAAGCCAAGATAGCATATCACCTATAAAGAAGAGCAGAAAGACTAAACAAAGCATTATAGATGAAACTTTGATGATTATGAAATCTGAGTTGTTAACTGAATATGAAACTGACACTGGGAATATATCTCCCAAGAAGAAAAAACATAAGAAGAATAAAAACATGGATAGTTCCATTTTAGAAACGCCCAATATTAAGCAAGACATTTCTGAAGATATCTGGTCTACAGGGCTATCCAAGAAAGAAAAAAGACGAATGTCAGTTGCCAATAGTACTTTGATGATGGATATTTCAAGGCAACCTAAATTTGATCCCCATATAGGTGACATTTCAACAATTGATATGAAGGAAAGTACTAAAAAACACAAACGAAAATTGAATGGAGAAGAGGGAGAGTACAGAAGAAATAAACACAAAAAAGAATAGTTTTTGATGCAGGATTCAATGTTATACTTATATGATTTTTATTTTTTTGACAATTAGAATAATTATAATTGTAACAGCAAAGCAAAACTTTAACTCTATTCTGTAGTTCCAATTATTATTATTCTATTGTTCTCTTGATTGTCCTATTTTTTTAAATATTTTGGATGTGTTATGTTTCTCGGAATATATGTTATTTGATACAAAATTACCTCTGAAATGACCATTTATAGGATATAATGTGAGATATTCAAGATTAAATTTTTAACATTTTGATTCTGTGTATAACCATGTATAACATTACCCCAAGCCTATTTATTTTTTGCGAGGTTCTTGAGATTTCTTGAGTTTCCTAAATTCCTACTACTACCTTGAATGCCTTGATCACTACCACTCTATCCTAAACCCGAAACCTTTATATTTTTCGTTTTGTTTAATTTCAATCTTGTAAATTCAAATATCATTATTCAAATTCAACGCACTAACAGCAAGATCCTCAAACGAAGATGTTATTTAGTGCCAATGTCCGTGGCCATGCTGAGATTAGGTGTTATGTTCCGTGAGAGGTATCCTAGTTCCGTGCTCAGTTCTGTGCAAGATGGAAGAAACATTAAGAAGAAGAAACTAGAAAGTTAAAGTTGTGGATTGTGGAAAGATGGCTGGTTTGCAAATGTTGTCTGAGTCGGTGAGTTTTTGCTTTGATTTTGTGGATTTTATACCTAATCTTATTGATAAGTGAGAATATTTCGGATATTACGAATATTCGAAAATTTATGATTCAAGTCATACTACCTACTATGTGTGATAATAATTGTTCAATATTGTAATATTCATTACCGGCTTTGTCGGCGAGAATCTATTCTTGTGTTTACATTACATAAATTACATTCTTTTGTATTTCCCTTCCCTCCCAAGTGTAATTAGAGAAACTTGGATGTCGGATGTGATTATTTGGTTATGGGATAATGGGATTTATAAGGATTTGATTGGACTATGGGAGGAAATTTCATAAAGAAAGACCTTCAACAATGTGGTGTAGGTAGATACCTACCTCCTACCTCTTTATAAGTAGGTTAGTAATTCATTTAAAATTCATTAATTATTATATAATTAGTATTTCGGAATTCTTGCTGTACTGATGACTGAATAAAAAATCTACTCAGAAGAATAGAGAATAATATTGATCATTATGCAGTGGCGAAGTTAGGGGGGTGGCTTGCTTCCCCTCCAAGCCCCCCTTGTGTATGTGTATCGTGCCCTAACTTAACTCACAAACTATGACCTAGCCCCCTCCCCCAAAGAAAATTTGTTAGAATGTAATGTAGTCGCTCAGTAGAGTTCCTAAATTTACTTGACACTGCTGTTTTGACGTTTTTTGTCAAGTACATTTAGGAACTCTAGTCGCTCAGTAGTTTCAATTTTCGAAAAATATCAATCATCAGTAATCAATGGACGAATTTTCAATGACAATTTAGATGAATTGAAACTTATCCTGAATTTAAAATTGCACCAATACTGTCACTGTAATATAATCCCAATGCCCTGAGGCTTGAGCATGGGCTCGAGCGAGGTTGTAATTTAAGGGGACTAGAGTTCCTAAATGTACTTGACACTGCTGTTTTGACGTTTAAAAAAAAAAACGTCAAAATCATTTAAAAAAAACGTAAAAATCAGCAGTGTCAAGTACATTTAGGAACTCTAAAGGGGACAGGAGGTGGCGATTTCCCCCCTATGATTTTATACAAAAAGATAATTTCACATTGAATCTTCCTGTTTTATTTATATAAAATTTCGTTTCATTTCCCTAGATTCTTCGGAATCTTCTATATTCGTAGTTCGTTTCTACATGTACAAAGTACTCATGAAAATGTGAGTGTTATTCCAATAGTTCGCAGTGAGGACATCAGGTATAGTTTGTAGGTACAGATAGATTGTAAAAAAATTAACTTTCAAATATCTAAAAAAGTATCGAAGAAAAAAGTACTCTCAGGTACAATAACCCTATGGATATTGATAAACAGTGAACACCCTTTGTGTCCTGCTTACAGTAGGATACTATAAATACTTACATTTGAAAGAAACGAAATAGAATATCTGAAAAATCCCGAAAAGTAAAAATTCACCTACAGACAGAATACAAAATACTTTTCAATTGCTCTTCAGATCATTTTGTATCAATTAATACAAAATGAGAGCAGGAAACTGAATAATATAATGATATATAATATAACTTATTATGTGATGAAGTCGTCGGCCTGGAAAAAATATAATATTCATACTGAAGGCCCTTGACCTTGAGCCCTAATAAATGTCGCCTGCGGCGCATTTTTACAGTGCGAGAATTTTTTCTAGGTTCCTTGCTTCTTTTGAGGAATAAATAGAAAGATATATACCCTGTACTCAGGTAGGTATTGCCTCTTACCTAATGCCTCGCTAGAACAATGTCTCAAGATTTCTGAAACATTCTGTAGGTGAGGCGTGAGTGTCGTTCGTAATTCAATTTTCCTTTTGCCTTGAAAACGAAAGAGTTACGACCCGATCCTCATCATATTTTTCTCTCCATTTCATTTCCTGCTTCGCATTTTTAGAAAACGACACCGATCTAGCAATGTGCAGCCGTGACTAACCTTGAATGATTGTTCTCGTCGCGATGTTATAAGAAGTTATAAATGTAATACCACAGATTAACAAACCTTGTTAATCTGTGGTGATACGTAGTAATACGTTCGCGGTGGAAAATTTTCTCACTGGTCCAACCCGAAATCATTTTTTGCCAACTTGTGTCAATGCGTAGATGAACACGGGGATTGCATTTTTCCATTTCAAACAATGATTGATCGAAATTTGAAATTTCTGATGGAGTTATAAATCGTTTTAGTGTTTTTTATCGCTTGGTGCGCACGAAAGGGAGTCCCTATAATGTTCTAAGAACATCGTGCGTACCTAGGTAGATTATAAGTTCTTGGGAATACTTCCTCACGTTTATTTTATTACCAATCGAAAAAATGATCGCTGATGTATCTGAATAACGTTTATTTTATTATTTTTGTTAAATCCTAGTGCTTGTACAGGGTGATTCACCATAAATGTCCCCCCTCTAGTTCACCTATTTTTGAACCGAATTAAAAATTTGAAAAATAATCTGAAATGATTTTTCAGAAATTATTTTCCTGTTGCATCAGAGAATACAGGGTGCTCGGAACAAACGATCTACAGAGTACTACGTGATTTTTTCAAATGGAACACCATGTATTTCATTGTATTTTTAGATTCATCCTGAAGAGCTGATTTCATCAATTCATCACACTTGGGGTCTAGCGGGAATGATTACAGAGATATAGGGTGCTCAAAATCGAGATTTTTCAACTTTGTTTTTTTTTGTCGAAACTATTTATCATTGGTCAAAACGGCTTCTATGTCCCCATCTCAACTTTTGATTTACTATCTACTGACATTTAATTGGAACATTTACGGGGTGGTTCAAGATTCAGAATTCTGATCACCATGTATTTATTCCAATTATTGAATGTCAGTAGAGACTAGAGAGTAAATCAAAAGTTGAGATACGAATATGAAAGCCGTTTTGACCGATAATGAATATAGTTTCGTCACAAAAAATTCCTAAAGTTGAAAAATCTCGATTTTGAACACCCTATATCTCTGTAATCATTTCCGCTAGACCCCAAGTGTGATACATTGATCAAATCAGCTCTTCAGGGAGAATCTGAAAATACAATGAAAAAATAGGATGTTCCATTTTCCATTTGAAAAAATCAAATAGTACCCTGTAGGTCCCCGAGCACCCTGTATTTTCTGATGTAGCGGAAAAAAACTCACTGAGCTAGAAGGGGGGGGGGGCATTTTTGGTGAATCACCCTGTACAAAAAAAAAACTAATTTTACAGCTTTTCCGTTCCTAATCACAAAATAGTTATTGTCTGCATAGATCTAATTACACATTAATGGGTATATTTTATTGCGGCTTCCAACAATTTATGGGTTTTACTTCCTGAAGAATATCATTATAGATTTAGAACATATTATCAGTGATAGGTTCTGATCTGACGAGAATCTTGAGTATGATTGGTAGTAAACTTATCTCACAATTACTGGTTTCTTGTCCTTTTCGATTCCTGTATTTTTTTCAGTAAACTTCTGCCAGTAAACTTTCATTCGTTCAAAAGACCTGGAATTAGTATGGAATTGCATGTCTACATTTCTTGCATAATGCTAGTCCAGATGGTGTCTTCCACTTTAATTTTCTCTTACACGATTTTTTCAGATTTTCAATTTAAGGTAACCTTTCAGAAGTTTGAAATAAAAAGCATATATCGTGGGCGTACAAGCAGAACCCTGTGAGTCCACTTTTTTCGGAAATGAGGAATTTATCACACATAAGTACATATTAGCGTAACGCTCCAGGCAAATAAACATTCAAGTCCATTTTGCGTTTGTTTCCGGAGATATAGTCAATGAAAATCCACTTAAGTCAATTTCGTTATAATTTTACAGGTTGATTCGAATATTCAATTGCGTTTTTCTCCTTATATCATTTTCTGGACTTACATGATTCTGATTGTACGCCCACGATATATACCTACCTCTAGGTATAAAATCACGAATTGCTCTGCTTCAAATAATGCTAGTAGGGGATTTTCTAGTTCTGACTGGAACTTGCTGGATATTATGCGTTTGTCGACAGAAAATATTTTAATTGAGGAGGTGTGAAGAAATCAAAAACGTGTTGAAAATAGCTAATTGTCTCATTTCTAGAGAAAAATATGGAAAGAATAGAAAAAAAAACGAAATACAAAAACAAAAAATTGTGACTTTTCATGTCTTTTCAAAAATCGTGTTTTTTTTCCAACAGTGATAATCATACCCTCACATCCCCAGCCCGAGTAGGATTAAAGGGTGTTGAAGTTTTCGAAAAAATCGCACAGTGACGTCGGTAAATGATTTTGTTTTTTTTTTCAAGGGCATTCCTGCTACTGTCGCTGTGTATATAGCAGTCATTTTCCTCTTATCCCAACCAATTTTCTGTGAAAAAAATCAAGGTACAGAATTGATCAGTTCTGGTTTTTTGAGGTTTTACTATATTCATATAGCCATTATTCTCATAAAACAATGCTTGATGGTTCTTATCAATAATGAACAAAAACGTTAGTACTTAAGCTCTTCATTGTATATGGATTATTATGGTCTTATTAGAATATTACTTAATTAATGTAGGTAGGTATTTACGAAAAAAATAAAAACATTTAAATTTTTCTATTCTGACCTAATGCCTCCAATGATTGTGGTCTATTTCGAGTGGAGTTTTTTGGCTACAAAGCGCGGAAGTCTTATTCGCAAATATCAAGGGAGTATTAATTGAAGGATAATCGTTTCTTTATCCTTGAATCGATTCACAGAAAACATTGCTGAATGATTCATGTGTCTCTTTGAAAATGTTCGCTATGAATAAAATTCAAGTGCACACCTATTATTACCATGCCAAATTCCTCTTTGCAGTAGAATTATGACTACCTTATTTTATCTTGTCTGTAAACAAGAAAAGAACAAGTGCTTTCGAAAAGTTCTGAATAAATTCATTTTTAGCCAAACTATCAATATCGATTTGCCACATTAATAATGAACAATTGAATATACAGGGTGATCCACGGTTGAGTAGTGACGACCGCGA